TAGCATGCAAGAAGCTCTGGGTTTCATCCCTTCACTTTGTAAACCTGGAGCAAGATTGTCCTAGCACCAGGGAGTAAAGTCAAGAGGACCAGAAATTCAAGGCCACCCTAGGCTACCTAAGACACTGTCTCAAGAAAGGTACAGGGAATACAAGACTATGCACAAAGCTTTGGAAGCCTAAGAAGGCACCCGGCACAGGTAAGGGCACAGGAGGAGCAGCGGTAAGGACAGTGTGGACTCCTGAGGGCCCTCAAGAAGGTGAATCACTGTGGGGAAGTGGCCAGGGTTGGTTATCCCCAAGGCAGGGGACAGAGAGAGCCCCATGGACTCCTCAGCCCGTGGTGACAAGCTTGCTGGTTTGGTCCACAGAGCAGCCACTTCCCCACGAAAAGCCCCAGTACCTTCCAGGAACTGCCGCTTCCCACTTCCCTTTGCTGTGGGCCTGCTGCAGCCCTGCCTGTCTGACGTCATCCGTGGGTCTTTGCAGGCACATGCGACCCTGTTTCTGAGGAGCTGACCTCCCCCTGCTGTGGATACTGATGACCCACAGTGGGCAAAGTGACGGCTCCGGAAGGGGTAACACTGGTTTTAGCCTGTAGTGGAGGGATCCCAGGTGAAGACACGGAGGAGGGGAGGACCCAGGCTCCCCACTTCCGCGAGAAGCCCTGGAAGTTGGTAGAAGAAAGACTTAGGATCTGTAAGCTATCAGGATGTCGAGTGTGGCCTTCAGAGAGTGGTCACTGTCACTGGGCAGGCACGCTTCCGACACCGTTAGGGCTTTTGGGCCCCAGAGACTTCACACCCCCTTTAATATTTATTGAATTGACATACTTACTGTGTGTATTTATGAGACATAGCATGTGGCTGTACCTGTATGTATGGTGTAATGACACGCCAGGCCACGGGCCCACTTATCACACAAAGTATTTTTTATTTCTGTGCAATAGGATTCTTTTCCAAACCCTCTTTTTAAGCTATCTTTAAATGTTCAACACATTGTTTTCAACCATGGTCCCCTTACCACGCTACAAGACATTAGAAGTGATCTCTCCTATCAGCTGCACCCTAACTTAGTTAACTATCCTCTCCCACCCTGATCCCACCCCCGCTTCCCCAGCTGACCATAATGATCTTCCTACTCTCGACATCCTTGAGAAGATGTGGTAGTCCCGACTCTCATCTTTTGGACCTGATGTATAATTTGCCAGTCTGCTAAGAAGGCTATAACAAATATCCCTGGAGCCCAGTAGCTTAAACAACACGAGGTGCTTATTCTTCATGGTCCAAGGCGACGAGCCCGAGACCACAGTGCCCGCTGATGCTGTTCCCAGCAAAGGCCTTGCCTCTGGCTTGCAGAAGCACCTGGTTGTTGTGTCCTTGCGTGCTGACCAAGAGAACGACGGCTCCTTGGCTGAGGACCTGAATGTGCTGGACAGGATGTCTATCCTGGGAGTCCTTCACTGTCAGCTGAGGATCCTGGGGGCCTGGCCCAGACTCCCCACCCTCCCATGTGAATGTCATTCAGGTTTTTTATTGTTGTTGTTCATTGTTGCCTGCCGGACAACTGGGAGTGTTTTCTTTGGAAAGCCCAGCTATCCGGCACGCTACCCTTCCTCTGTACTGAACAAGTGTTGTTTAACCGGGCGGCCTCGATTGTTTTGGAGATAGGCGCCTTTTTGAGGGAGGAGGAGGTCGGTGCGCCTTGATTACTTTGGCGATCTTCCTTTATTTTTTCTGGAAACTCCTCTCTGTGTATGAAGATGGTAGGTTTCACGGACCTGTAACAAACACTCACTCAGCGTGCAAGACCCTGGCCCTGGGCAGCCTAGGAAGACTCATACTGAGGTTCCTGAGGAGGCCCAGAGAGGGAGAGGTGGAGGCTGCAGGGCCTGGGAAAGTCACACCCCCTAGTGTGAGCTGAGCTTGCTGACTGTTTGGGACCTGCAGACAGGGGCCTGAAAATTCCAAACACAGACCACAGGCCTTTGGCTTTCCTCAGGCCCCTTCCTTCCTGTCCTTCAGCCTGACCCTCCCCTCCTGGCAGGCCCTTCCTGTTTCGGGGAAGGTCAGCTTGTGGCAGAAGAATGGCCATTGTTCCTCCCTCCCCTGGTCCCTGCTCACATCCGGCCCCTGGTCTCTAAGTTCCCCTTCAGAACAGCCAGACTTTCCTTCTCCTGCAACCGGAGAGACTGGGGCATTTCCTGCCTGGCCACCCTGGTTCCCACCCTCCGCTGCCTCAGGCCTGCTGGGACCTCAGGCTCTGTGTTCTTCTGGGTCCCACAGCTCTAGCCTGTGACTGAACTTGGCAGCTCTGGGCCCTCTTTCCTCCTCTTCACGCTCCACCTGCTCCAGGACGTTTTTACCTGGGACCTCGTGGGAAAAAAAACACGGGGCGAATTCTGTCACCAACACCCTCGTCCTTCCAGGCAGGCGCCATCCTGTTCACAGACCAGAGATGCCTCGCCTGTGGCCTGAGGCTCTCTCCCGTGACTCCATTACCAAGTGAGCTCCAGGCCTTTCCCACTCAGTGCTCTCTGAGCCACCTACTTGCTTGCAGCTGCTTCTGCCTGGGGGAGCTCTTTCTTTTGGCTCTTTACAGTAGGGACAGATCCAGGTCCCCTCTGTACTACTTGGGGACCATCTTTTAGTACTCCCTTTAGGGCTCAGCCCTCTCCCTCCACTCATTTCTGCCACCAGCCACTCATCCACAACTCACAAAGAGCCAGGGTCCCTCCCCAGTGTGGCCAGTGTGACCAGGGTCCCAGGAAATATCTCTGAGACCCTCCCCGATTCCACAATTTATTCAGAAATGGTCCCCTGAGAGCTCATTTAGGAGATATTCCCCCACAGATCTATGTAAGTCCCTTTACATATGGGGGCCTAAGACGGAGAGATCTTGGAAAAGTAAAGAAACAGGCAGGAGTTCCAAGGGTCACATGAAGTTGGGGAGAAGATTTATTTGTGGTAGATCAGTGAGTCCCTTCTGTTGCTATTAGGGGCACATACATACATGGTCACATACGTCACCTATGTAACCACAGAGGTCAGGATGGTTCTTCCCAGGCCTGCGGATGCTGGAGCCACCTATGACAACACGCATCAGGGATTATAGCATCCTCTGCTGTGCCGTGAACCTTCACCAACACACACACACACACACACACACACACACACACACCACACACACACACACCACACACACACACACACACCACACACACACACACACACACACACACACACACACACGTCAGCCTTCTGCTCAGGACCAACGGCTAACAAAAATATTGTCTCTCTGGCTGCAGTGCGGATTAAGTCAAGAGACGTGTTGACTATACATGGCACAGCTGGCAAGTGCTCACAGGAGACGTAGGCTGATGGCTGTCATTTGTCCTCCATGGCGTGACGGCGCACACAGTTGTACTGTGAACACAGCCGCTGCAAAGTCCAAAGTGCCCCATTGCTATTATTAGGCCGTGACCAGCTGCAAAGCCAGAAAAAGTGACCTGGCTCAGAGGACCTCAACCTCTGAACGAATGTCGTCATCTCGCTTAGTTCCTGAATTCACCGCCACTAGGTTGGGACATTCTCTTTAAGAGCCAGCTCCACAGTCAGACTGTAGGGCGTTGTGTAATCGGTGAAGTTCACTGGCAAGGGTGACTTGCGTCTTTTGCACATTGACCCTCAAGTTCCTGGAAGCTAAAAGCGATGAACGTTCTGTTCTTCCCCCTCCCCCACCCCATTCCTTTCTGTTCTCTGTCCTTCAATCAAACTATGTGACACTCACGGTGCCCAAGGGACCTGACCAGAATGCCAGCTAGCACTCACATGTCCCTAGAGCCTGCACACATACATCTTGGGGGCTCTTTCCTTTTAAAGCCTAATACATGACCATTCTCTGTCAGAACTGCAGAAGCCAGAAGCCTAGCGACTGAGACTTGGGCCAGAAAACACACTGGCTGGACTATTCCTCAGGGACAAATGAACTAGTATCCCAAGGCCGGGAGTGAATGGGGACCATCCTTCCAGTACCTTTGGGAGATTCTGATGAATGGCTTAGAGACGCTTCTCTGTAGATCCAGGGTAAAGTAGGCTGGATATATACACTAACCTGCACTAGATGCAGGGGTCACAGGATCATGATGGGCTGCTGGCAACAGCCCAAAGGTGGCACCTGGCAAATAGGGGTGGGTAGAGGAGAAGAGTTCTAGGAAACAGCTCTGTAATGAAGGCCACTAAGCACTGTTGTGGCCTGTGGCTTCCTCAGTAAAATCTGTTCAAGAGAATGGAGCTGCACTTTCCCAAAACGTCCCTGCTTCGTCTTCTCTGGTTACTCTCCTTTGGTTCACAATCTTTGTTAGCTTTCTGTCCCTAAATGAGAAACGACCCAGATTTTTTATTTTGCTTTGTTTTGAAGCTCTGCTGTGCCTACACCCACTGGCCAAGCCCCTGATGACAAACTTCATCAAAATAGCATGCGTGTGTTACAACCTCTGTCCTAGAAGCAGGCCTTCACTGGGGCCTGTGTGTGTTTGCAGAATGGTTTCCAAATCTGACCTGTGTCCCCAAAGCTGAGATCGTCGTAGAGAGCTGTTATTACATCTCTGTCTTGCCTCAGGAGATACACAAAGTCCAGAACGCTGTGTGCTGGGAGCCGTGCCATCCCCAATGCTCCTTTTGCCTTTGGGATCAATGCCCCCCAAAAACATGTGATCGCTGGACACTAGAAACACAACATCCTCGTGTGTTACTGCTTGAGAGAAAAGAAGAAACTGGGGAGGGTCACTGCTGGGATCTGCCCCTGTCCCTGTCCACACAGCCCTTCCTCCGTCAGGGGACTGACCTGACACACTCCAGGGCAGGCGACCTCCACGGCAGGGCTAGTGTCCTTGCTGCTTCCCCCACCACAACCTAAGATGGCTTCCCTGGCCTCACTTAATTCTCTAGTCCACCTCGTCCATTTTTCACTGACAAAATACCAGAGTCAGGGTACTTTATAATTTAAAAAAACAAAACAAAACAAAACAGTTTATTTCACAGTATTGTGAGTTCAAGAACATGGTGTCAGCTCCGGAAAAGGCTCCCTGAGCCTGCCAGATCATGGCAGATTGCATCGTGTGAAGATCACATGGGAGACAGTAAGTCAGGAAGAAGTGGGGGAGGGACCAGTCTTTCTCCTTTATCAAAAAAAAAAAATCATCTCTCATGAACCAAGCAGGCTCTCAGGAGAAAGTCTCTAATCCCTCCCCTAGGCAAGCATGCCACTGACGGCTCACCTCGAGCAAGCGCACATCAGGTCAGGTCTGCATGCTTGGACAGTGGGTGAGTCTGGGGTAAGGGAGAGAAGCCTGTAAGAACTGGAGCTGCGGGAGGACGAGCAGTCTGCACTGAGCTCACGGGGACACATTCCAGCCATCATCATCATCACCCAAGGACCCCCCATGCCAGCCTCACCTTCTCCTCCTCCCTCCTCTCCCTTGGGTCCACCTGGCTCTGTGTATCAGGGCTGGGAGGGGCGCTTGTCTCCTCTCATGGACACCTGCCTGGTCCACAGCAACTCAGGTTGAGATCTGTCCACAGCTAGACGATCACTCGGCACCTGTTGCTGAGGCTCTCTGGGAGTCACGCCAGGCCTAGGCAGGACAAACGAGCAAGAATGCATTCCCGCCCTGTAGAAGCTCGGAGGAAAAAATTGTTGAAAATATGGGCCAAACGGGGCCATCGTCTGTTTTTGTACACAGAGTTTCACTGGACCATGCCACACCACTTACCCATGGCTAAGTCACCACACAGAGAACACACTGGACAGTTGGGACCAGAAAAATGATGGGCAAATCAGAAAACACTTACTACGTGGTTCTACGCAAAAACCACCTGTAACAAATCTTTCTCTGTACCACCTGTTCACTCACAAATGACATGGAGAGTTATTATTGATTATGAAAGTTCAGTCTGTAGCTTAGGTTTGTTCTTAACTAGTTCTTATAACTTAAATTAACCCATTTCTATTAATCTACATTCTACCACATAGTGTGTGGCTGTTACCTCTCCTTCTGCATGTCTCGCTTGCTCTGCATCTCCTGGTGTCTTTCTCCTGTGCCTTGATTCCTCCTTCTACTTCCTCTCTCTGCCAGGAAGTCCCACCTACACCTCCTGTCTCGCTATTGGCCACTCAGATCTTTATTAAATCAATCACAGAAATATATCTTTACACAGTGTACAAATATCCCATAACAACCTGTCTGTCTGCTCTGCCCCGTTTAGGGAGCACCAGAAGATGGGCCTTGTCCTGTTTATGTCCCAGGGATTGCCACCCATACGTCCTCAGCAGACAAACTCTCAAGCCTGGAAGGGCCTGGAGACAGGTTCTCTGGATGCTAAACCCAAGGCACGTGAAAAATAGAGGAGAGCTGGGCTGAAACTCAGTCAGTAGAAGGCTTGCCTAGCATGCTTGAAGCCTTGGGTTCCATCCCCAGCATTGCATAAGCCAGATATGGTGGCTCATGCTTCTAATCCCAGCACTCAGGCAGTGAAGGCAGGAACATCAGAAGTTCAAGGCCATCCTTGGCTATATAGTGAAGCCAGCCTGGGCTACCCAAGACTATGTCTCAAAAGAACAACAAAATTGAAATGAGGCAGGTTGCATAGCATCTGCACCATCCTGTCAACACTGGGCTCTATTGCTAAATTATCTTAAATTAAAACTTCTATCAGAAACAGCATCACTATCCCCAGGACAGTGAAAGCCTCCTGTGTTGACAAGAGTCAGCAATTGTCTAGAGATGACCTCAAAGACCTTTTGTTCTTCTGCTTCAGGCATTGAGTGGCCACCATAGAAACTGAAACTGAAGAAAGGGGCCTGGACAGGACAGCCCTAGACAGTCACACAACTGTGCAGGACGCACGCATACCTTCCGGAACTCTGCCTGGCGACTGCCTCACTCCCCTCCACCCCTGCCATGTCCTGCCTACCCCACTCTAAAAATGAAGACAGTTGCTCCCAGAAGAACTACACAGCATACTGAACCCAAACCCCTCCAGCCTCGCTAATGGTTTTCTTTGTTCACACGAGGGATGTGACCAGTCTCTTGGCACAGATGGTGGATGCAGAGAAGGGAAAGGGGTCCTCAGGTTCAGTTCCTGTCTGCTACTTGGAAGGTTTTGCTTTCCACTGTACTTCTTGTGTGCGTGGAAGCCCCTTGAAAACCAAAGCCTGCATGGAGAACCCCCACCCCACCCCACCCTACCTTTCCCATGACACAGGAACACAGCTGTACCTGTGTCTGCTCCACCTCTGAATGATACTTCTGTGCTGCCCTGGTGTGCTTCTCCTGAGCCCCTGCTCTGATCCCCTCTCCAAATGCCCCTCCACCCCAGAGAAGTCACCCACTGGCAGCCGTCCCTGGCCAGGGTCAGTCTGCACACACAGCCCCTTTCCACACACCCCAGTCTGACCTTTCTGCTGTCTCCAGATGTCCAAAGGTTAGCTGTGCATTGGCTGTCACCCCTTACTCAGCCACGCAGCACAGCAAGGTCCTCCTGGCCTCCTGCGCCTGTTGCTATCTGGTCAGCTTTCGCCCGACTGACTCAAGGCCTCGATGTCCTTGAGATGTCTGAGGACCCATCCGTTCGCCTTCAGAAGGTCTCCTCCCACAAACCTCGCTGGTGGGGATGTGGAATGGTCCAGCCACTATGGAAGTCAGTATGGAGGGTTCTCCAAAACTAAGAAACAGGCCTGCCATATGACCAGCTACATCACTCTGGAGGAGTCACCCAGAATGTTCTAAGTTAACACATCACAGAGACACCTGCACATCCATGTTTGCCGTGGTATGGCTTCACAGAGGCTAAGATACAGGGCCAATGTAGACAGCCAACAACAGAGGAATGAATAGGAAAAATGCCGTACATTAAAATTCAGTACTTAAACCATAAAAAGTCAGGCAGTTGAACCCTGAGTGACAGGGCGTACGTGCAGAAAGTTCATTACCCAGCAGGTTATGACTACTAAAGTTGCTTCAAGTCTGACCTTGAATCAACAATAAACACCTGGGAATTCAAAAAAGGAAAAAAGGAAAAATGTCATATATACCCAAGAAAGATTTTTTTTATCCATGAAGAAGAGCAAAGCCCTATCATTCATGGGAAAAGGGATGACCCTGAAAACAATAGAGTAAGTCAGTCTCAGAAACACAGATGCTGTGTTTTCTCTCGTATGTGATCTCTCCATCTTATATGACCACACCTAAACGTGTGTGTATGTATTAAATGAAAGCAGATATGAAATTGTAAGGAGATAGTGAAGGGAGAATGGGGGGACAGGGTGGGGCAGAACAGACCCAACATGTCACACATACCTGTAAGAAAATTTAAAATAACTAGGAGGCTGGAGAGATGGCTCAGTGGTTAAGAGCACTGGCTGCCCTTGCAGAGGCCCCAGGTTCAGTTTCCAGCACCCACCTCGTGGCTCACAGCCATCTGTAACTCCAGTTCCAGGGAATCTGATGCCCTCTTCTGGCCTTCACAGACATTGCATGTGTGTGGTGCACAGACACACATGTAGGCCGAACACTCGTACAAACAAAATAAAATAAATAAACATTGTAATAAACAAAGAGAAAACGTCTTCTCTCTCAGACCTCTTCTCTCCCATGCCCAGGGCTATCCGCATGCCAGGCTCTGTTCCGGCATCTGTCCCTGTCCTCCTGTGCCTCACTGTCCCCTCTTCCTTCCGGAAGGCGGATCCCACCTTAGGAGCCCATCACCCCCTCTGGACCATCCCCTGCCAGGCCTTCCAGGACTCTCACCTACCCAACCCCCTCCTAGCCTTCCTTCCTGTCGCACTCCAGCAGGAAGTCTGGATGCCCGCAGACTGCCCCCAGCCCTGTGACCATGTGTCCCCCCACCGTCATCTCTGCTGCGCTGCCCTCACTTGTCCCTCTCCTCTGCCCAGGCAGCACCTCCTCTCAGCCACGCCCAGGTCAGCTCCTGCTGGCAGCCTTCCAGACTCACCAGCAGGCCTGTCCTCCCTGCTCAGCTCCGCATCCCGTCAGCCCATCGCTCTGTGCTGACATCTTCAGGCGCGAAGATGTGGCAGTACTCGTCACCTCCCCGCCAGCTCATATGCTAACTCAGCACGTTTCTCTTCCTTCAAAGCACCGCCTCTCCGATTAGTGCCCCAATAGGCACGCACATGTGGGATGCTTGAGATGAATGTGACCTCCAAAACGGAGAGTGCCGACCTGTCTGCATCCCGCCCCCATGATTTAAGTGACAGCATCGTTTCCTACACCAGCTCTCTGGGAGGCCATGGGCCTGGGCCTGGCATTTGTTCTCTAGGCTGTCTCCTGACTCTGTCACCTGACTCTGCACCCGTCAACTGCCTCTCTGTGCATCCCTTTACCTCTTCTGAAAGAGGAAGGGGGGTGCTGCCTCAGTGGCCGGTTTCTGCAGAACAAGGCACATGGCAGAGATGTGCCTTGCAGATGTGGGCATCGGTGTCCTCTCCACTAGGGATGAAATGTAAGAGTGTCTTCCAAATTCCTGTATTGAGACCCAAACCCCCCACCCAGGTGATGGGAGGAGGAGGAGGCCTTTGAGCGTGGTTAGGTCATGAGGGTGAGGCCCTAATGAGTGAAAGCAAGTGTCCTGTGAAAGGAGCTGGAGAGAGGGACCCCACTCTGTTCCCACCACGTGGGGCCACAGCAGGCAGGGCTCTCATGTCGAAGATGCCCTCGCAGAACTGATCTATGCTAACACACTGGTTCTTAGACATCCAGCTTCCAAAACTGTGGGAAACAATGTCTTTTTTTTTTTTTTTCCACTTTCAGGTCTGCAGAACTTCATTACAATTGGGTTGAGACTGTCTGCCCGCTCGAGCAGGGACGGGGAAATTGAGAACCTGGGAGATTGGTAAGGTTCTGCTTTAAATACACTACATTCTCAGGTGCTGGCTTGGGGGTTCCCAGAGCCTTTGGGGTGTCAGGCAAATGGTTCCTCCCCAGTGCCTTGCCAGCTGACTGACGGCACATGTTCTCACGGAGCATGACTCTCTAGCCCAGCCCCGCCGTGCGTGAGTACAGTAACTCCAAAGCAAGAGCTGCTGGCTGTGCCTATCTGGTTCCCCCACATACGCTTTCATGGAAGAAGAGCCAGGAGTCAGGATGCTGACTCAGAGCTTTTCCAGCCCCCGCTGGGAGGAAGGAAGTGTCCGACTCATATCAGGTCCCAGGGTTTGAGGCGTGATCTCAAAGCATGACTGCCCCAGTCCACCCTGTTCCTCTAGCCATAGCCCTCCTCCAGGCAGGACTTCCTCCTCCACGGTCTTCTGCTCCTGTGTTTGTGACAGCAGAGCGAGGGTGACAGCAGCCTACGCTCCTTTGGGGTGGCTTTCACATCATCGTGGGGTGAGACCCCTGGGTAGACAGATAGGAGGGAGAAACAGGAGAGCCCTACGCACTTGCAAGTCAGCTAGCTTAGTATATGCAGCGCCAAAGGGACCCTGTTTCAAACACTGACACCCAAAGGTGTCCTATGGCCTCCCCAAGAACACCTTGCATGCAGCCCACCCACATGTACCATACCCACAAATATTAAGAAAGAAAGAAAGAAAGAAAGAAAGAAAGAGAGAGAGGGAGGGAGGGAGAGAGGGAGGGAGGGGGAGGGGGGACGGCCCCTTCCTCAGTCACTCAGCTGGAATGTTTCTACCCAACGCTAGCGAGGAGGAACCTTCCTGCAGAGACTGGAGGCCTCGGCAGAGCGGCTTGCCCTTTCTAAAGTTGCTAAGCGATGGCTCCCATTCACCAAAGAGAAAAGTGTGCAGTGGAAGAGAAGAGACAAGAGTCGTGGCCGTAGTTGCTACAATAGGAACCTGAATCTTTCTGTGTTTCTGTATACAGCTTCATACAGGAGAGGACGTCAGCCTTCGGCACCACTGTCACCTACACCTCACTGATGCAAATGTTTCCAAAGGAACAGAGCTGAGGGTGTGTCTCCAGAGACACAGGGAGCCCCAGGGAGGCAGGGGAGCTGTGCTGGCTGGTTCAGGGAGCTCTTAGAGGAAGGAAGACCTGTGGTAGCTGCTCCCATGTGCCTCCTCCTCCTCTGTCGCTCATCCTGCAAGCTGGAGCTTTTGAACCCGGAAGACCAGGAGTCATGTGGAGACTCCAACTTCCAGAAAGTGAAGGCAGGCATGGAGGTCATCCTCCAGCCTGGGGTCGGGGGTGATAAGGAATTAGAGCATTAGCCTTGTGGGCGGGGAGAGACTCGCATGAGGAAGTCCAGCCCCCACATAAAAACCTTCATGGCCAGCTGACCTTGCTGTGTAAGTCGCTCCCGGGAAAGACCCTGTCTCCAAAAGTAAGAGGGAGCCAGCCGGATGGTTCATCGGGTAGGGTGCTGGCCTCCAAGCTCAGATGACCTGAGTTTGTTCCTTGGTACTCACGGAGTAAAAGGATAGAACCAGCTCCTGTGGATTGTCCCCTGATCTGCATACATGTGCCACGGCATCCATGTCTCCCCTGCTCCACATATATACATGAAAAATAAATAAAATATAATTAAAAATAAAGAATGATTGAGGAGGGCCCTGATATTGACATCTGGCCTTCATGTACCACATGTGCACCCACACATACATGTTCATCCATGTGCATGTGTGCACACATGAACCTTCGCCTCTCAGAGAACCTAGTGTTCGTTAACATTAACCCTGAGCTAAATGGAACTCATGATAGTTGAGCTACAGTCTTGGCAACTAAACTCTGCTTTGGATGATAGAAAACAGAAGATTGTGTGTGCATGGCATCCATACCAAGTCCCAAAGAGGAAGGATGAGTCCTGAGACTTCCACACACCTAGGGAGCAGGAGCCAGCCTCCGAAGCCTGGGCTCCTAGTCACTGAGCCCAGTGATCATCCCCAGGTCTCTCAAATCTAACATTATGTCAAAGCCACTTCTATTTTTAACTCATGAAACCAAATGATGATGTTAAAGTCTCCCCCTTGATAGCAGGACCAGGGGGAGAAGGTGCCAGAGTGTGAGGAACACGCAGGCATCCTTGTGAGTCATGCTGTCACCCACAGTAGGCCGAGGCTGGCTTCAGTGTTTTGATCTTCACTCTACAGTGCATAGCCTGCATGCACAGTGGAGCACTAGCTGGAGACGGAAGAGTAACAGCGTGGATGGTGAAATACAAGAGCCCAGCTGTGCATGGAGGGGAGGGGCTTCTGCAAGTTCCTCTCCAGGCTGCTTCCGCTAGGGCCTACATTTCTAGGACTTCGCAGAAGGAACGAGGCTCGGTAGAGTGGGGCAGACCTGTAATCCTAGTTCTGGAGAAGCGGGGCTATATGAGAGTCCCAGGCTAGCCAGGGCTATATGAGAGTCCCAGGCTAGCCAGAGCTACATACTGTCATCCTGTCTCAAAACAGTAGCCAAAGAACAAAATGGAAAGAAATTGGTGTGTATTGGTAGTTATACACGGATTTGACTCTTTTTTCTTATTAGTAAAAATTTTAAAATGCAATTAGCACAACGCAGGTTTCAAGAAAAACAAAATCTCTTAGCTTCTCTTGGCTACTGGGAACAAAATATCAAAAACTGTTATGAAGATATGGTAGCTCTGATACCTGTCATCCAATACTCCGAGAGACGATGGCAGGAGGTTTGCCAGTAAGAGTTCAGGCAAAACTCTTTCAAAACTGTTTCAAAAAAAAAAGAATCTTTTTTACAAGAGGCCAGTTTGAGTGTAAGATAAAAAGATTCTTAATGCCAGGAAAATAAAATGATTTTTTTATTATAAAATTACGAAGTACCGTAGTCACTGAAAGTCATTTTATGTAACTGTAATGTGTCTCAGACTGGTAAACCGTCACATGCTATTTGTGCTCCCTGAGGAGCTGGCTCTGGAAGCAGAGTAGACACCTCCCCATTTCAGACCCAAGAGTCTTCGTCTCAAAGTATCCTCCGAGGCCCCTGTTTGGGTAGAACTGGTCCCCTAACTCTGTGAGATCAAGAAAACAGCCCCAAAAGTAAAAACACCGCATCCTTGAGAACAGCCAGAAGGGAGCTATTTCCAGGAGAGGGAAGTAATGTTTATCCCACACGATAGAGACGCCCACAGCGGGAAGGAGAAGTTGGACGCTCACCCATGAAGAGGAAGTGTATCCAGGGATCCTCAGCTTCCCTAGTTGGTTTCTGCTGGATATTTTGAGCCTTAAATCAGATGATGTTTTCCTGTCTATTTGTCTCTTTAACTATTGACTGAGGCTGGACACGGCAGCACTTGGGAGGCGAAGGCAAGAGGATCTCTGTGAGTGAGCTCAAGGCCAGCCTGGTCTACATATCAAGTTCCAGATCAGCCAGTGCTACAGAACAAAACAAAACAAAGACCCAAAAAGACACAAAGCAAAACAATAACAATGAAAAAATAAAAGCTACTGGTAGCTATTTATTCTTTTTCTTTGTTTTTCTACAGACATAATAAGCTCACTCATTCGAATCTGGAAGCATAGCTATTGTCGACCATTCTCTGAACCCTATAGATTAGCCGTGCTTCAATTGAGTGGAATGTGTCATTCAAGAGAGGAAAAAGGCAAAGGTCGTGACTAGTCTAGACATGGCACAGAAAGAAACTCTCAGGAAAAGAATAATCTAGGACCTGTTTCACCCAAAAGTCACTTTTTTTTGAGACAGGGTTTCACATAGTTCAGGCTGGCTTCAAACTCACTGCGTAGCTGGGGTGACCTTGAACTCTTGACCCACTGAAGTGCTGCAATTGGATCAAGAAAGAAAACGTGATTCTGGCTCACGGGAAGTTTTAAAAGGCTTTGAATAAGTCTGGGGCTATGGTCCAATGACAGGGGACTGTCCAGTGGACGCCACACATTGGCTTTGAGAGCCAGGACCATGTGGGAAACAGAGATTAGTAGAGGCTTTCCCTAAAAGCAAGAGAACATTGACCTCAGGAAGACTCTCCAGATCCCAGTCCCTGTCTTAGCTTCTCTAATCTAATTTGTGTGTTTATATGTATGTATGTATGCATGTATGTATGTATGCATATATGCATGTATGTATGTGCATGGAGAAGCCAGAAGACAACCTTGGGTGTCATTCCTCAGGTTCCGCCTCCATACTGTTTTGAGGCAGGGTCTCTCACTGTTCTACCTGTAAGCTAGAATGGCCCTGATTTCAGTGATCTCTAGGCTTCCACTCTTATACAAGGGTCCTGGGGGTTGGACTTAGGTCCCTGTGCTTGCATGCCCAGTCCTGCCTTTTAACTTATTCATGAACAGGCCTATTTTGTGGGTGTGATGGGAGGCTTTTTTGAGACAGGGTTTCTCTGTGGAACAGTCCTGGCTGTCCTGGAACTCGCTCTATAGACCAGGCTGGTCTCTAACTCACAGAGATCCTCCTGCATCTGCCTTCCAAGTGCCAGGATTAAAGGCAGCCTAAATGATGAACAAGACATTTGAAAAATAGGCGGCCTAGCAAAAGCTATGCCATTCACATCCTCATGTTTAACTATCGGCAGCCTGGCCCTACCTGGAACACCCTTGGTTACCGGCTTCTACTCAAAAGACCTAATTATTGAAGCCTCTAAAACCTGTTATACCAACGCCTGAGCCCTCTTAGTAACACTAGTAACCACCTCAATAACAGCTGCTTACAGCATGTGAATCATTTATTTTATCTTCGCCAGCACACCCAGATAAATAGTTCTATTTTAAGGACTGATATTACTTAACTTCTTTCTTCAAATTTTTCCGAAGATGGAAAAAAGATATCGCTACTTATTTTGACTACAGTAGGACTTACTCGACGTCATTAGCACCATATGCATCCATTAGACCCTTTTAGATACCCGAGTTACTGCTAAGGGTCTTGGAGCTCTTATTTTTCCTACACCTAGCGACAGTTTTGTTATCCCTTAGTTCATCTTGAATTAATTATATCATGATTATTGCCGATGAAACTAAAGGAAAGAATGACAGAATGACTTAGACTTGGATGCAATAGTGAACTACACCACCATGGCCATGTCATTCTTTATTTTCCTATTGCCTTGGCAGAGTGGGGCGCCATCTTTAAAAGGGTGTGAAGGAAGACTGGAGAGACCGTCTTTGTAGTCATTGTTAGCCTAGATGATGTGGGTGGTCATTCAGAGAGAACCTTTTGTTTTTAGTCTATCGTCTTAAGGACAAAAAGGTAGAAGATGTTTCAAAGTCTTAAACGAATCAGAAAATGGACTCAGAGAGACAACATGTCTCTATATACCCCCCAAAACAATATTCTGTGATCTTCACAGCCCTCCTATGGGATGTCACCTCGTGTACCCCTTCCTCGCCTCCATTAACTCGTCCCTGAAAGGACTTTCCTAATGGAGGATAGTGGAGAAGAAGGAAATGAGGAAACACACAGTAGATGCCAGACACCATCTGCCAAGAGAATGAGGAAGTTGGTGGACCAAGGTATGGCCAGGTGGACTACACTCAGCTGAGAGAAGAAATGAATTACCCCATTGCCAGAGAGTCAGCTGAATGTCTTCAGCTGTGTCCGATGGGCCACGAGGGAGACAAGGGCTTGGCGTGTCCCCGAGAGCACACAGGCACATTGGGTCTGATGCATGCTGGGAGGAGGGCTGCTTTCCAGCTGAGGGCTAGTTTTCTGGACAACACTAGCCAGCATCCCCCACCTGTAAGACCTAAGAGGAGGAAGTAAGTCTAAACAAAAAGTGAGAGCAGGGGTAGAGACCAGATGGCTACTTGGAAGCCAAGAGACTGTTCAGTAAAGATGGGGAGAAGTGAAGAGTTGAAGCAGTTGCCTAGATCGATTAAGTAAAAATAAAAGGAGGTGATGGGAGCTGGTGACCCAGGACAGTTGGTTGTCTGCGCCATTAAACCACCAGACAGTTAACCAGACGGCCCAGCTTGTGGGAAAGCAACAGCAAGCTAAGGCTGAGTGGGTTTAGAAGCTCATGATGATTTCTCCCTTCCTAGCAGCCCTTGGCTATGAAGTCAAGCCATTCAACCCGGTGAAAAATAAAACAAGAGCATCGAATTAGCGGCCGCTTGTAATCAGGAGGCATTAAATAGGACGAGACTGGCTGGGCTTGACCTTTCCCTTAGTGGACACAATGATGGCATTGGATGTGAAGTGAGGAGAATTATGCTGTATTCACTCGTGAGCATTTGACCACTAGTCAGTGAGCATTTGGGCTGTATTGATTAACTAGAATTGAGTCTTCCTCCTAAGGAGATTACATTCTGAAACAACATTTTCATTCATGAGCTGAGCATGGAAGACCATGCCTGAAATCCCAGCACCCAGGAGACTGAGAGAAAAAAAAAATAACGATTACTGTGAACTTGAGGCTAGCCTGTACTACATAGAATACACTATCTCCAATATGTAGCGTGTATATTTGTAAGTCATTTAATCCCATCAAAAACTGGTGAGTTAGCAAGTGTTGCTCCCATTTTATGGCTGAGAAAAACCACATTCAGGATATGTGAGTGTTGTGTGTCGTGTCTGTGAGTGTTGCGTGTCGTGTCTCATGGGCCTCGACAGAACCTAGATTTGACCCATGTCTCTCACTACACTTTTTTTTCCTATATCCTTTTTTAAGGTTTTGTTTTGTTTTTTAGAAAGAGACATTTGAATGCAAAGTCTATGGGAACAAAGAAACAGATATTAAAGGAAAAGTACCTAATATGGGGGGCAAAATGAGTGCAGGGATGTATCGTGATATTCACATTGGGGGGGCAGATTACAAGAAAGAGGAAGTTTGTGGGTGGAAACTATGAACTCAACTTTAAGAATAATTTTGAAGGGCTTCTAGGACACACTGAAGAAATAAACAGCGCTCACTGAGACACGTAAGAGTGGAGCCCTACTGAGTGGCCTTGGCCAGAAAGCTAGTTCTGGGCATCAGAAGGAATGATGGGAACCACCATTAACAAAGGCAAGGAGTCCTCAAAGAGAAATGGGAAGGAAGATCAGAAGAGGACCAAGAAATTTTAGGAAGCTCTCCCCTTAGACAAGTAGCAGAAAGTGTAAAGGAACAAGTATTTGGGAGATCCTAGAGTCTCAAACTTCCCAGCACCCAGGGAAGGAGCTACACAGAGAGAGAGCGGTAAAACCATTGCAAAGTCTTCAAAGGACTGGACCAGATATGGACCAGGAAGAGCCTATTGTAGGACTGAAACTGGCTACCAGGTTCAGTCCCCAGCACCTCATAAACCAGGCATGATAGAGAATGCCTGCAACCCCAATACTTGGAAGGCAGAGGTAGAAGGATCAGAAGTTCAAGGTCATCCTCAGCTACGTAAAGAACTTGAAGGCCACCCCCAGCTACATGAGGCCCTGTTCTGTTTTGGTTTTTTTTTTTTTTTTTAAGCCCTATGTGGGCAAGTCGGGTGGTTCTCACACCCTTTAAATCCAAGTGTGTGCTTGAGTAATGGAGACAGCAAGGCTGGGTTGCCCAGTCAGATACTCTGGCAATAAAAGGGAGGAAAGAGGAGGAGCCAGGAGAAAGTTTTTATGGAAAGTTCCGGGCTGGGCTGCATAATTTCAAACATTATAAACCTCTTCCTGCATCTCTATTTTTTTCCATCCTCGCTCCCTCTTTCACGCTTCTCCAGTGATGTGTAAACTTGTCCTGGCCACGCTAATCCGTCAAGACAGGAACACTTAGGAGCACCGGTCGAAGCGGGTCTGCCAGGGTGGATCTGCAGTGGGGAAACGAAGCTGATAAACTGTTCCAGCAAGAACTTTCACCAAAAATAGCACCATCTAGACTAGTGATTACAGAAGGTGGAAGGCCACAGGGGGAAAAGTTGGCTGTGTTTGTAGAGAAGACAGCTGAACATGTTTGTAGGAAAGGTTCTAGTGTCCAGGGATAAACTAAAGATTATTTATAATTCTAGACAAGAACGAAGGCAAAGATGACCAGGCCATGACAAGAAGGGCCTGTTTGAGAGGGAAGCAGGTGTTCTCTCCCCTGAAGCCTAGAGAAAACAAAGGCGAGAAGTCTGTTCAGAGAAATTAGAGACAGAAAGCAGCAGACTGGGTAACTCGTATCAAGCATACAAATAGCACAAAATATAAACAGCATCCTCTGGGGCTGTAAAGTTGGTTCCATGGGTAAGAGAGTTTGTTGTACAAGCTTGAGTCTCTGAGTTCGAATCCCCAGCACCCCTGTAAGAAACCTGGTTTGATTTTACTCACCTATAATTCCCACACGGTAGAAGGAAGAGAGAGAAAGATCACTGAGGCTTGCCAGCTGCCGGTCTCGCTTGCTTGGGGTTCAGTGAGAAAGCCTGTCTCAGGGTCATAAGTTAGAGTGACAGCCTCTGGAGCTCTACACTCACCCACGTGAGTGTGCACACCCACGCGTGTTGACACCACCACCATCACCACCATCACCCCCGTCTCATCTCTCTGAATGCCTTAGATGACTAACATAAGAGGAAAGATTTAACCAGCTAGCATCTGGGGAATGGAGGCCCAGGAGGTCAAAGTATGAAGTCATGCTTCCTTCCAGGTGGCAATCAAGTTGTCTACGTTCGGGTTTCTATTGCTGTGACGAAACACCATGACCAAAAGGCAAAGGGTTTATTTGGCTTATGGTGCCACAGCATTGTCTGTCACTGGCTGAAGCCAGGACAGGAATTCAAAGAGGGCAGAAACCTGGAGACAGAAGCTGATGCAGAGACCATGGAGAAGAGCTGTTTACTGGCTTGCTTGCCTTGGCTTGCTTGGCCTGCTTTCCTCTAGAGCCCAGGACCACCAGCCCAGGGATGGCACCACCCACAATGAACTGGGTTCCCCCCAACTGATCACTGATTAAGAAAACACCTTACAGCTGGATCTTATGGAGGCATCTTCTCAATGGAGGTTCTGATGTGGGATTTCCCTCTGTAAGCTGTGATTACCATTGGTTAATAAAGAAACTGTCTTGGGCCTGCGCAGGGAACAGAGCTAGGTGGGGAAAACTAAACAGAATGCTGGGAGGAAGAAGGAGGAGTCAGAGAGAAGCCAAGGAGTCGCTGGAGACAGATGCTGGGAACTTAACCTGGTAAGCCACTCTTATAATTCCCAGCACCCTCAGGAGGGGCCCACAGCATCTATAACTCTGGTCCCAGGGGACCTGACACTCTCTGCTGGCCTCCAGGGGACCCGACCCTCTCTGCTGGCCTCTGTCAGCACCACCCTTCCGTATGCATACACACACAGAGATGTGTGTGGACATGAAAAATAACTCTTTTAAAAGTAAAAGCAAAATAACAACTCAGTGAATACAAAGCCAAGGCATTAACTAGGGACAATGAACATTTCTTAGTCATAAAAATTCAATGTAACGTTATAAAGTTGAACAGATTTACCTTGAAAATATAGAAAACAAATAGCGATGAATTTACCCATAGATAACCCCACAGTCACCGTAGGAGACACCGGCTAATCTCTTGTGATATCTACCATGACGCACAATCAAGTCAGCGTGACCTGAAGGATTCCAATATGGCCAGAAGCCAGAAGCTAGCGGTCCGTAGAGGCTCCCAAGCATCAGTTAGGAATAAAGCCGCAATGGGAATCTACTTATGTACCTATTTTAATGGCAAAACAATATAGGAAATCAAGGGCATTTTCCTCGGGAGTTAGAATGGTGATATCTGCTGGGAGGAAAGGTGGGACACTCAGGGAAGACAGTCCTAAGTCTTGACCTAGTTGATAAGGACACAAGCGGTCATTATCTCTAGAGAGATCTTGGAGGAGGTACCGAGGATGTGTGGCCTCAACTCCTTTCAATCGTGCAGGAGGCAAGGCCTCCGGGTGAGATAAAGAACTTGAGAGCCCTGGGCAAGATATAGAATGACCCATAGGAACCATGGCGGGCTACCAGTCCATTAGAGGTGGGAAGTGACTGCCAGGAGATCTCTACCTTATCCACGGCACAAACTAAAATGCCTCGCAGGAAGGGCCAGACACTCAGCCTGTAAGGTAGGTCAGAGGGTGAGGAGGGATAAGCCTACTCACCGGTAGTGTCTAGTCCCCAGTCGCAATGTCTAGTCAGACGTTCTTGGATGTCGTCATGGCGCAGCATGGACAGCGTGCCGTGTGGAGGTGCTGCCTCTTTGTGCCGGCCAACGGACACCCCCAAAGCGAGCAGTTACCCAGTGGTGCTGCGAGGCAAGCTAAAAATGAATTCAGGAAAATCAAAGCCCATTTTATGGCCCAGGCGAGTTCTGTGAGGATGCTAGGTAAGACAGGAGGACTGGCGTGGAGTGTGTCCCCTTAGACTGGACTTTTTCAGTAGCCACACCAGCATTCAGCATCAAATTTGGGGCATGAAAGAGGAAAAGAGGATCCAAAACTATAGGAAGGAGCACTCCCATGTCTAGGACGGCATAAGGACCCAGGGTCCCCAGATGTAGTTTCTATGGAAACAAAAAGAAGCCAAGAGAGACAGGAAGGATAAGATAGAAAGTTGGGAGCTGGTAAGGTGACTCAGCCAGTAAAGGGATTTGCTAACAAATCAGTTCAATCACTGGGACTCAGTGGGGAGAACTGCTCCCCACAGTTGCCCTTCACACACACACACACACACACACACACACACACACGATGCACATGGCATATACACAATGAATAAATGTAATAAAAGTTAAAAGAAAGAGAAGAAGGAAAAGGAGAAAGAGGAAGAAGAGAAAGAGGAAGAGAAAGAAGAGAAGGAGGAACAGGAGAAGGAGGATGAAGAGGAGAAGAGGGTGAGAAAGAGAAGAAGGAAGAACAAGAAGAAGAGGAGGAGGAGGAAGAAGAAGAAGAAGAGGAATATCTGAAGAGTTTCAGAACAAAAGGCTCCATAAATAAACCATTCTTTGTTACTACTGGTCTTCACTTTCATTATTGTCAACTCTCTCTGTCTCTCTGTCTCTGTCTCTGTCTCTCTCTCTCTCTCTCTCTCTCTTTGTCTCTCTCTTTATCTCTAGCATTCTTCAAGGAACTTCAAGTGTGAGTCAAGCGAAGCTACTCTAGAGCCCCGGAGCCATGCTGCTCATTCATGCTTGCCCCAGTGACTTCAAAAGTACCCAGCTCATCCATTAGTCTCTCTGGATACGTTGGTGGTGAGGTCAAGCCCAGCAGGTCATGATCAGCATAGGACACGTATTCCATCTGCCTGGCCCCATATGGCTACCTTCCAAGTAGGTGCTAGAGCCGAGGAAGCAGAGAGAGGTGTGGGGAGACTGGTCAACAGTTGAGCAGCAGGAGGGAGGCGGGCTGGGGAGCAAACAGCAGACCTCAGGGAAATTAGGCTTTGGCTGAGCAAAGTTCAGCCTTGTTTTCTCAGAAAGCGGAGCTGGGCTGAGCCACCCTAAAGAACAGGGAAAAGAGCAACCGGGCTGAATATTGGCTTCCACGCTTCCTCGGCATGACAGGCTTGGCCACCCAACAGTGACCGGGGCTGTTGCTGGCAACGGCTCTGGGTGAATGGGAAGAAGGACCGGCAACCAAAACAAGACCAACCAGCTGGGGGATGGCTAGGTAGCTTGCCATCCAATCGTAATGGCCTGAGTTCTGATCCCCACTTAAACAATCAGCGTGGTGGTGAGCATCAGTCAACAGCCCTAAGCAGGGAGAGAGTAGGCCAACCCTGAGAACGCAAGGGCCAACCAGTGTAGCGGATCAGGGAGCTTCAGATACAGCAAGATGCCCTGTCTTAAAAGCTGAGGTGGAGATTCTGAAAAATGACTAAGCGAAGATGCGTGACGCCACACGCTGAGCCTGATTTCTGGGGCCCACGGGTGACGCCCACAGCCTGACTTGCACCCCCTCCCCCAGCCCCAGCAGTTCTGGGGTTCCTCTGCTTTCCTCTTCCGTGCTGGGATTACAGGTTGCCTTCTTCCACACCTCCTTCTTTGTGTGAATCCTGGAGACACAAAGGCAGGTCTTCAGGTTTGCGCAGGAAGCAGCCAGCACTTTGCCCACTGAGCCGGCAGCCATGGCTCCAGCCCCTGGGGCTGTCTATTTTCAAGTGCTGTGTGTAGTAGGTTCAGTAGATGAAAACTCCAACGAGACAGGACAGCGTGGCCTGTTCCCCACTGGGTGTGCACAGCCCACCTCCACAGCTGCCTCTGTTACTCGCCCAGGCCTTAAACCCCACAGCATCCCCTCCCCCAGCCCCTAAATCACGCCCGGACCCTTTGTTCCTCCCCCACAGCTGCTCAGCAAATTCCTTGATTTGAAATTATGATCACAGGTTGGAGAGCTACTTAAAATAATTTTGCCAAATGTTCCGTCTCTGCATTGATGAATATAATGGAGGAGGAATTTTCAAGAGGAAAAAAAAAATTCAAGAATTCACTTTGTTCAGAAAAAAAAACATCAGAGCTTATAGCACAATATTAGCTCACATCTAAGGACTCCCCCCCCCCTTCCAGGAAGTTGGCTGTATGCTGACCTTTGGCGAGCCGGTGAGCCCTGTGCCAGCAAAGGTGAGAGAGGGAGTTGCTGGTGGGTAAGGCCTGCCGCAGACGCAGACACAGGGAGCAAAGGTCGGGGGTGTGTTTGGTTTGTTTAAGCGTGAGTCAGAGGAATGGGGGGTCGATCCCGGGTCTCCGATTTCCAATTTCCTGTGCAAGCCACTGAACGCACAGTGCCCCGTCCCGGCAGGTTTTTATGCTGCTGCTCTGTGGAACAAAGGTAGATGCTGTACGAGGCCACACACACAATAACCCAGTCGGGTCACCGCTTCCTTCTCGAAGGGAGACATCTGTGGAACCCAGAGTCTGCAAGGAAACAAACTCTAAGGGAAGTGTGTGTTGAGGGGGGAAGCCGAACACTGTCTGGCTTCTTGGTCATCAGAGGCCCTTAGCATTCCCTCCCAACATGCTGTTCCGTAGGAGGCCTGGGCCCTGGGCCAGTCCCCAGGGGCCTGTGGTCAGGGGGTAGCCATTCATTCATGACAGCCCTGCAGCCCAGGCTCCAGGCTGGAGGACACAGGGACTGACCATGAGTCAGAACAAGGCTCCTAGGTCACTGCATGCTCTCCTGCAGCAAGCTGGCCCATGAAGGACCTACTTCCCACTTTCCTGGAGTTTCCTCAAGGCTTGGACTAAACCCCAAGAGAGGGTGGGTGTACACCTCAGTAGCTCCCTGGGATCAGGAGGCACTAGGGAGAGTGGAGGCCAGCTTCTAGCAGGATCCAGGAACCAAAAGGGACACATGTCTACGGGTCACCTTAGACAGACATTGTCCTAGGAGGCTCTGTCTGCCAACCACACAGCCAGCGAAGCCCCGCCCTCTGAGGAGAGTATCGTCTCTAAAGGGTCTCTGCCAGTCTGGAGGGGCACACTTTGGGGTGTCTCATAAACTCAGTCAGGGTTTTGCTGAATACACTCAGCTGGTCCAATGAGTGTGGGAGTGGGACCCTGTGCTCCCCCTAAATGACAAAGGAAACAACTCCTGCTACCTCGCTCAGCAGGTATCTCCCAGAAACTCCAGGACTTTTGAAGTGCAGAGACCACAGACTCAGGGACTAGACGAGTCCACGATTCTTCTCTTCTGCTTCCAGAGCAGAAAAGGTCATTGGCCCTTGTTTGAGCCTCTGTTTCCTCATCTGTTGAATGGGCACAGCTCTAACCACTTCACCAGTTGATTGGGAGGGTGAGACAAACCTGCCTCACAGGTCAACACCAGTCTGCAGGAGAATGGCTCTGAAAGGGGCCAAAGAACACTGGGGTAGGAGTGGGGTGGGCGGAAGGGATGAACATGGGCCTGCGTGGGAGCATGGCATCTTTCTATGCAGGGACAGGGCTGTCTGCCACAGGTCTGCTAGCCAGCTTCCCTCCAAGGGGACCTGGTCTCAGCTCCAAGGCAGGCTCCGCTCCAAATCCCTCTCCCACTCCCTCTTCCTCTTTCTCATGGGACTCTTTGACCCCAGGAACCCCTGAGCACCTGTCTCCTCCAGTCTCCGCTGCTGGAGACAGGAAACAACTCAGATTCCTCTGTCTCTGGGCCTTTGCCCCCACTCACCCCTGTGCCCTGAGAGGGGCAGAAGGGCCAGCTGCGCAGAGGAGGAGATTTATCGCTAACAGTGTTTGGAATTTCTAGTGCTTGGCAGTCTGAAGTCTAAAGTGCAGCACAGCCTTCAGCCTGGGTTGTTGTTGTGTTCTGAACTCCGGGGGACAACATAGGTCTCATCTGCCCACCATGCCCACTTCTGTGGTTCCCCTAGGCGACCCCCTCCCCTCTCTTCTCATGTCCTAGGCACAGGAGGTGATTGGCTGTCTTGCTCACGTCTCCATGAGTCATCCTTAGTGTGTGGCGAGGGTCCTCGGGCCTGCTCTTTCTTCTCACGGTTCCTTCTGTTTTTGCAGAGGACTGGATTTAATGAGGAAGTGCTGTCAGCAGAAGAGAAAAGAAAGTCTTAGCCAACGCCCCATCCAGGGAACCAGTCCCAAGTCCTTTCCCTGGGAGGTGTGAGGTCAGGGAGTGCAGACCGGTCACCTTAGTTCTTCCAGAAGAGCTGAAGTAGGAGGATACTGAGTTCAAAGCCTGCTTGGTCCTTTTAACAAGATAAAGCCTTGTCTCAAAATTAAAAAAAAAAATAGTAGATACAGACAGACACAAACACACACAGACACACATGCAGACACACACACACAGACACACATACAGACACACACACAGAGACACATAGACACTTCTTTGGCTCTAGTCTTTAAAAATCCTTGAAGGCCCTGTTTTTTATTAGTCCCCAGTAACACACACACACACACACACACACACACACACACACACACATGTTGGGGGGGGGCTCTTCCACTCTGATTCTTGAAGGGAGGCTCTGTAGAAATTTCTAGAAAGAAGAGGCAGAGGCTATATTGCACACCACATTAATGACTTGTGACACCAGTCCTCACGACAGGCTGCTCCAGGGTCTACTGCACACCGTATCCACACCAGCCCTTCTCTTCTGCTCCCTTGGTTGGATATCAAAGCAACCTATAAGCTTGGTTTGTTTGGAATTTTTTATCTACTCTTATTTCACAGCCGAGGAAACTGAGGCCAGAGACGTCTGCGGTCGGAGCCACTGATCTCCCATCCTCCACCCCAGAGGTGCCCACTGGGCCTTATGCCAGTCATGATGCCTTCCTGCTTAGGATGTCACCACACCTAGTCAATGAAGAACTGCCACCTGCTCCAACACCGGGAGACCAGCCCTTTGAACGCAAGCCCGAATCCAAACTCGGGGTTAATGATAAAGCTGACTAACGTAAGGACTGGCCTGCCCTCCCCTCTTTATCAACATGTGACTTAGACTTGAGTGCCAAGCCAGCCCTCTCCAGAGCCACATCCTCGGCAGTGACTTATTAAAGAGTAAATCAAAGTTTGCTGGAAGAGAAGAGTAAATACCCACACTCCGCATGCCAGGCTGGTCCTGAGCCCACTTCCTGGTTCCACTGTTGACTTGGGCTGTAATCCTAGATAAGTGAATACATTCACTGCCCTGGGCCTGGGGAGAGAGGCCAGGACAGAGTCTGCCCCCACCCCTTACACACACACACACACACACACACACACACACACACACACACACCTGGCAAGATGCCGGCTCTCGTGGTTTGCCTCGGAGAGGAAAACCTCAGACAAAAGCCAGGCAGGTGCAGAGCTCTGCATTCAGCCGCTCGTGCTTGTGCCTGTGACTGTGGAGAAGTGGGTCACATCACCAATAGAACCCGACCATCCTTTGGCTCCGAGCTCACCCATAATTAGCGGGACCGAGGAGAGGAGAGCTGCACTTTGGGCCTCAGATGGCAGGGCGAAAGAATCAGAGCAACGTTGACAAGAGTCAACTGTAATCACGCAGTGAGCATGTTCAAAGAAACAAATAAAAATAGCCAGAAGTGGGTCAGCATTTACAGGAAGGTCACAGGCAGGAAACTGGGACAGACTTCAAGTCCCGCACGGAGGGACAGAAGTTGTGTTTTGTGAATACAAACTTGTGCTATCTTTGGGTTCTCGCCCCCTGCTGCTCCTTCCCCCTTCTCTGTCTTCTGGCAGAAAGCAGAAGAGAACCCATCCTGAGTGGTCTACTTGAGTCCCAGAAGGCTGGATTTGGATCTCTTCAGGACATCATTGGCACCAAGACCATGAAGTACATGTATTCATGCATGCACACATATGCAGACAACAGCACCTCCTGTCATTGCTTCTCAGATCTGTGGCATCCAGTGTGCTACACACACTGGAAGCTTGCAAGAATGTGTATATACATATGAAGCTCACAGAGCACACACAAACAAAGCACCTGCATATAGCACACCTTCCTACATGTTCTGAATACATGCTCATGTATGCATACAGGGGCACCCAATGGACACATGCAGTTGCAGTAGTAGGCACAGTATCTATTCGCACACGTGGTTAAGTGTGCATTCATGTCATGTAAACACATGAAAACCATGTACACATACCCAATACAGTTAGGGCTCTGTAAGTTCTTCGGCCATGGAATTAACCAACTTCAAATGGGGGGATATTTATGTCTTTACTACAGGCTTTTTTCTCTTGCTGCAATTCCTAAAACAATATAGTATAATAGACATTACTTGGCATTTACACTGTTAGGCGCAGTAAAACTCGAGGTGATTGGTTTGCAAAAGGATATGACTATCAAATGCAAATATACCATTTTATATCAGAGACAAGAATCTGCAGATCCCAGAACTGGTCTCCTGTGGGTCCCAGAAGCCCCTGTACTCCTGAGCATGCCCAGTGTGCATCATGGACCCTATGTGCACACACAATAGGCCTGCATCCCTCCCGCCCTCTCTGTAACCTTAAGACTCTGGCAGTTGTTAACTTTCGCTCTTGGCAGGATTGCACTTCCTGGTGGCCTTAGTGACGCGCGATGGGTCAGATTGATCAGGTATATGTGAGAGGGGCGTGCAATCATCTGAGCTCTGGGTTTCAGGTTCCGGGTCCTCAGGACCAGCATGGAGGAGCTGGCAGTATGGCGTGCTTTGGTGAGAGCTAGGCATGCTTGTTAGTTTTCTGGAGTCTTGAAACACATGCTGCTTCCAAATGCTGCCTTTAAAAGGAGTTCTGGAGCTATGCCCAGAGGCATAAAGAACACATATGTGCATGGGAGTAAGCATGTTCACCACGTGGAGCGAAGCATGCAGACACCATGAATGCAGAGGGTTGGGGTGCGGAAGCTCTTTGTCCTTTCAATGTCTCTCCTTCATGCAGGAAAGAGGGACAGTCACCCAGAGGCAAGTTCATGGGCTGTCTATGGGTCACGGGAGAAGCAACCTCTCTCTGGGGATTAACTGAGCTGCATAAATGTCTGGGGCACTCAAGCAGCCTCACACCTCTACCAACAGAGCCTTCCTTGCTGTGGTGAGGGGGTTCCAGCCCAGGAATAGGGGCTGTTTCCAGTTATTCTGAAACGCCAGAGGTCCTGGAACATTTGCCCTCGGGGGGGGGAGAGGATGAAGGTTCCAGAAAGGCATGATGGACTTTCCTTGCGCCCTCGGCCTCAGACCCCAGTGACGGCGTGGAGGTGTCGGAGGGCATCTTTAAAATATTGCATTATTTAAAAAGATTTACTTCTTTGTATGTCTAGCCTGGAGAGCAGATTAACCAAACACAGACCCGTGTGGGAGTAGGGTAAGTGTCTACAGGAATTTGCGTTTTTGTCTTTAAGTTTGGGTTTTCAGAGGGCAGGATTCAGGGGGGGATGGGGGGAGCAAAAGGAAGCTACACGGGCCAGATAAACTTAAAACTGTAAGCAAAATTCCCTTTTAGCTTTTCAAAAAATGACAAAGTCACACCAGAGAGGAAATGAAAAGGGAAATTTTTAGACTTCTCATCTGTCCAGAAAGCCCCGGCTGGGTTTCAGAACCCGGTAGGGTAACTGTCGGGCCTGCGGTCACACAGCAATCCCAGGAGGCCTTGCGTCAGCAGCCATTATATCAATAAGGAAATACAATCAGCAAACCACAGCCCCGCTTTTTTTTTTTTTTTTTTTGCCTAAGCCCACATGTTGCTTTAGGAGGGTTTTAAAACAAGAGACTTTCCTGTTGTCGAAACCTGTGAACCCACAGCTCCTCCAGGTTACTTAAATTATCCTACCTCTTACAGCCGTCACATGGTGAATTTCAGAACTTTCTCCTCCCCCTCCCCTGGCCGGCAGAAGCCCTGGACTCCCTGGAACCCTTATGTCCCAAACCGTGTGGCTAACTGCTGACACAGGAGGAAAAACACTCGTTGCATATTAAGCTCTGCAGCAAAGCACCCTTGCCAGATGCTGTTCCGATGCGTTTATTCACTGACCTGAAGGGGGACAGACACAGCAAAAGAGGATTCTGCAGAAATGGCCCTGTGGTCACGGCCGTGTTGCTCAGCACGACCAGGCCATTTTACACACACACACACACACACACACACACACACACACACACACAGGCTTGTAAACATAAGCTATCACAGGAGGCTGTTGTTTATCATAGGATGTGCAATCAATCTGCTGGAAATTTTGAACTACAACCTACAGGCAGCCCCGACCGCTTTACGAGGCTGCTTGTCTGAGTTGCTGGGAAAAGCCAAGTAGGAAAGCGTAGGTGCAGGGCTCGGCAGGGGCATGGGTGAGCAACGTCAGCTCTTCAGGACAGGGCCTTTGTGCACGCAAGATTTGTTTTTCCCTCGAGCCAATAGGAAGCCACAGATGAAAGACTGCATTGTGGAGCCATGAGCCAAATCCACAGAGAAATCTCTCTCTTTCCTGCTCAGCTCAGCAAAGAATGATTGTGCCAGACCCAACAACTGCGCTTGAAAGCCATCTCCCACCTTAACTTCTAGCCTGGACAGGGGCCACTTGACGCTGTTCAAGCTTTGCCTGTAAACGGCACCCGTGAACCCTCGCCTTGCCTGAAGCATCTGTCATGCGAGTCAGGCCTGCAGCTCACAGAGGGCTTCCAGAAGGTAACTCGTCCACTTGAGGAGCCAACTGCACAGAGAATGACTGAGGGGCGAACTTTATTCTGCAGCCACAGGCGGCGCTCTTCCCGCCCCCTCCTGTCTCCACGCCGAGGCTTGAATCTACCCGACAGTTACCTAACTTCACACTGTCAGCCTTTTTGGGTTAGAATCAACACTTAGCTCATCAGAAACACACACGCGCGCGCACACACACACACACAAACTCCGCGCGCGCACACACACACAAACTCCGCGCGCGCACACACACACAAAGAGAATCTGCTCTCAGTTTGAGCACATTGAGTGTTCTGTTTATTTTCTTTTATTTATTTTTCTTCATCCCAATGTATCTGCCTGCCAGGGCTGGACTGCTAAAACAGATACTCTGAAGCCTTTGTGGGGGTATGTTTTGTGTTTTTTGTTTGTTTGTTTGTTTGTTTCACATTTGAGGGCAGGTGCTTTCAGAACAACGCCGATCCTCTTTCATAGGAAATGTGGGGCATGAGTGGGGCCACACCAAAAAAAGAAGTCAGAAGTAAATCAATCCCAGGTTATGATCAGCCTACTGTGTCATAGGATAACTAACCCTTAGGAGAATCGCTTTTTTTCCCCCTACTAATAATTCTAGAGGATTCTAGACTCCCCACACGGGCCCAGTCGACAGTTTTAATCTTAGTGCCACCCCGTGACAAATGACCTGTCGTCTTCTTTAGAAAGCATTCCACTCTTCCACCGTGTTTTTGGGTGGAGGAACCCGCGTGACAAAATGAGTACAAAGTAAAAGCGGGGTTGCTTTCCAGCTCTTTCGATGTGGTCGTCGGGGCTCCAAGGCCTGAGTCGCCCAGCCTGACGGCAGTTTGCTGGACAGCTGCTCAAAGGCACAGCTGCCGCCTCACCACGGGGACAACACTGATTCTTCCCTTGGATGCCACCTCCAAGGCCCCTGACTCCCCAGGCCTCCCTCTAGAACTGCAGAGCTACAAAACCCATAAGCATTTGCAAATAGTTTTTGCAAGCATGGGCTCCAATTCCTTGCCATCTCATTGTAAGTTTTCATTGCAGAAATGTGCATGTGTTCGGGAGGAAGGAACATAGCACCACCACACAGCGAAAGTTCTCCAATCCGTGGCTCTGATGAGCAGCGCCAGAACGTCTCCCAATTTGCTTTCTGTTTTGTTTCTCACATTTTTTTTTTCTGTTTTAAATTGTTTTCTAAAAACCCCACATGGAAAAACAAATTTTTAAGGAGACAGCAAGACAACTCAGTGGGTAAAGACGCTTGCTACCAAACTCGCCAGCTTGAGTGCGTGAGCCGCAGGAACCGCACGGCAAAGGGAGCACACGGATTCCCACAAGCTGTTCCCTGCCCTCCACACATTAGCTGAAGCACATACACCACACACACAAACAAATAAATGCAATTTAATCTTTTTAAGATTGTGTTTTATGTGTATGAGTGTCTTATATGTCTGTATGTATATGTGCCGTGCGGTGCATTGTGAGACCAGAAGAGGAATTGGACCTCCTAACACTGGAGCTACAGGCAGTTGTGAGCCATTGTGTAGGTGCTGGGAACTGAGCCTGGCTCATCTGAAAAAGAAGTATGCTCCATTGCCCTACCGCAGCCAAAGTCTGAGTCCACAGCCGTGGCTCCTGCTGCAGTCGAGGGCTGTGTGGTGGCCTGGAGTCTGGTCAGTCACCTGAGACCATGTTGGTGTCTGAGGGCCATGCTGCAGCCCAGGCCATACAGATCTGAGGGGCTTGCGCTGTTCGCAGAGCCGTGGTGTCGTCCATGCTCAGCTGCTGCTGACAGCCACGTCTGGGTCGGTGGTCCTCCTGAAGCAGAGGTCTGTGTTGATGTCTGTGGCCCGTGGTAGCATGGGGCGAGGGGGACATAGAATGCATGTGCGATGAAGTCAGAGGGCCCTGCTGAGCTAGCCCTACCTTTCCAGGGCCCTGGGAGAGCTGGCCCTGCCCCTAGATGCTCACTGCAGCAGGCAAGCTGGCCAGACCCTCACAGAAGAGCTGCCTCTGCCTGCCCCCCACCCAGCACTGAGGAGAGATGGCTCCACCCCTCACCACAGGTGTGGAAGAGCTGGCCCTGATGATCTGGGCTAGAAGAGCTGGTTCTGCCACTCCACTGAGAAGGGTGATGGGCTCAGCTGGCCCCCAGCCCCACATCCAAGACCATAGGTTAGCCCACCCTAATGTCTCTCCTATCTTTAACCTGCTGGCGTGTGCAAAGGGACTGGTTCTAACGAAACGATGCCAGCAGGATCTCCTCGCCTCGGGGCAGCCATGAGATATCAGAGAGGAGTCCGTGGAGATGATGTGCCAGAGGCCGCGAGCCAGACCAATGAAGACTCATTGCAGAGAATCTTTCTGATAGGACAAAAGGGAAATGTGGATGGTATCACCCACATGGGTTGGAGTCCTCAGAAGAGAGAGAAAGGAGACAGGGGGCTGAGCCCCAGGGTTCGTCGCTCTCTGCAGACTCCATCTGAGTATCCACCTCATGCTTCCACCGCCGAAGTTGGAGCCACCGACATCACCCCACCTTCCCCATCATGATGGACTGTACCCTGGCATCCTGAGCCAAAATAAACCCTACCTTCTTGAAGTTTCTTTTATCAGGAAACAAGAAAAGTAACTTTTTTCCTTCTTTTCTTTCTTTCTTTCTTTTTTTGCAGCAATAGGAAAATAACTCACCAAGCCCCATGCCATTTTCCTCATTCACACTTTCCCACACAACCCTAGCACGAGTGAGCATTTCCTGGTACAGCCACGCCCCGCAAAGGTCCCTTTCCAAAGCAGTGCAAGAAGATGCCCACTGTGGAAACCCCAAATACAGCATGACTTGGGGGCGGGGCTGAGAGAACCCTACTGGCCACACACAGTGCACAGACCCAAAGAGTAATACACCTCAAAGACAGTGGGCAGAAGGGCGAGGATGTGGTCTAAAAGGCTGAGGTAGGTCACTTGCAAGGAAGCTGGAAAGACTGGGGGTTCACTTGGTAGTAGAGTATTTGCCTGGTCCTTAAGAGACCCTGTATTGGGGCCCTCACACCACACATGCAAGCTGCTAGAGTAATAGAGGGTCTGAATAGCAAGTGCGAACTAAGGCATATTTAAAAAAATAAGCATATTCGTAGATGTAAGTCTAACATGCGTGTAGAATACACTTGATAACAAGAACTTTGATGATGTCTCTTACGTCTTCAGAAATGTAGACATTCGGGGGTCACTGATATGGTTCAGTGGATAAAGAACTTGCTGCCAAGCTGGAAGACCTGAGTTCAATCCCTGAGATCCGCATAGTGGAGGAGAGCTGATTCATACACACACACACACACACACACAAATAAATAAATAAATAAATCTTTTTAAAAAGTTATATATTCAAGCTAGCCCCCCAAAAAGACAGGACTTTCATAACTACCCACTGGGAAATGGGTCACTGCCTCATATTTGGGGTTTCATGCAGCACCTCCCAGCCTCTGCCTACTGGCCCCAGCCAAGAAGAAACTCTTATGAGAGTCCACTAGATTCCAGGCAGACAGCTGGACCCAAGAATAGACATCCTTAGGCACCCGTGAGCCTTGGGAAGGACACACCACCCGCCTAGTGTTTCTCAGGAGTAAAATCTGAGATCGCAAAAAGGTAAATTATCTTCCCAAGGAGATAAAGACAGGGCATGGTCTGAGTTTATTTTGCCTGGTGCCCCTGCCGCTCTTTCAGTCTGCCTGCCCCGGAGGAACTGCTCAGATCTGCCTTCCATCATGCGGCGACATCAGGTTCTATGACGTACTTCAGCTAAGGAGCACTGAGAGGCTGGAGACCGGTCTAGCATCTCCATGATTGTACACAGCCCTTGCTCCATTTCATCATGGCCAAATGGTGTCCTTGGCTGGAATAATTTACTGATAAACAATAGGTGACATTGTCAGTGGGGGCTCCAATCCTGCAAAAAACAAAACCAGCTGAAGTCTTTAAAAAAAAAAAAAAAAAAAAAAAGGCTGATCCGTGGGACCAGTGACGCCCTTGAGTCCAATCACATACTTGGTGCTGTCTGACAGCACATCTTCCCAGCCAAAATTCCCATCTCCAGTCGACAGCTGCTCTCATCACCTCCTCTCTCACCAGCCCACCATAAAAAAGGGGGAGAGGGGAGAAGCCCAACAGACCCACTCCTACCCAGAGAAGGTGATCTCACACGTGTAGGTTGGCAGGGGTTTCTTATAAAGGCGGAAAAATCAAATAAAATCCTTATTGCTCCATTCAGCAGCAGCCTGGGTCTCTGTGTTGCTGGGTGACCCCCTAGCAAATCCTGCGGCTTAGCTGCACTTCCTTTATCATTCAGATGCACTGTATGAAGGCCATAGCACAAAGAGCCAAATGGCATTCTGCAATTAAGGTGGAAACCATCACATAAATGCGGCCGGGGCCAAGGCTTAAGTAGCCACATATGGTTTCACCAAACGTACTCCGGATCATCAGCCAGCAGTAAAAACTCACAGGAGGGAGATGGCCTGGCTGGAAATGAACTGCAAATTGATAAACATGTACTTGTTAATGCGGTGTTTATTATTTTTTTACTGGGATAAAAATTAACTTGTGCAGCCTTGGCCAGCCAGCAGCTTGAACTCTACCATCTGGGTGGTGGGACAAACTTGTTTCTGGAACTCCAGGTTACAGGTTACTCTTGCCAGACTGCATTTGTGGACAGGCTCTGTATATCCAGACAGCAGAACTGAGAGAAACTTCGCTGTAGCACCTGCCAGGGCAGCGGAGAGAACTCCCGGGAGGGAGCCGCTCTCACAGTGAGATGTATACTACTTCAAGTTCTGAATTGGTGCATGAATGTGTGTGTGTGTGTCAGTGTATGGGGAGGATGGAGGTCAGCCTTGGCTGTCATCCCTCGGGAGCCAGTCATCCTGCCTTTTGGGGCTCTCTCACTGGATACAGCTCAGCAGTTAGGCCAACTGGCCAGCAAGCTCCAAAGATCAGCCTGTCTCCACCTCCCCAGCTCTGGGATTATAAACACAGGCCATGCACCTAGCTGTTCCAGGTTACTGGACGCAGGTTCTCATGCTTGTGAGTGGCACACTTTGCCAACTCAGCCATCTCCCCAGTACTCACTCCACATTTCAAGTCAAGAGAGGGGCTGCCAACTTCCTGGAAAAACCACCTTCGCTTCGTGAAAAGAGCCAGGCTGTGAGGTGGCCCTTCTAGAGGCAAAGGAGATGGCAAGAGATGTATCGTGGAGGCTGTGGGAGAGGATGCAGAGAGATCATGAGGGCACTGGGGGCAAGCCTAAGCAAGCACAGCCAGTCATGTGACACCCTCAGCAACTGCCCCAGCTGCAGAGCCTAGCTCTCTGTCCCCAGGGCCCCTCTTCCATCAGCTGGATCAATTTACGTTAGCTTCAGCGCCCTACACAAGCAGGGACTGAATTATGAGTCATGGAAATCCCCTCTGTGTCCGGGAACCAGGTAGCTTTCAAACTCCCAACAATTAATGGCCCCTTTGGTCAAAGAAGAATGGGGGGCGGGGAAGGACAGCCGGCAACGCTATGGGTTTCCAAACAGGCTGTTTGGTTTCTAGTAAATTAGGAGTGGGTGGTGGAGGGACCAGTAATGTTACCCTGTAGAATGCGGTCTTCTTTGACGTCAGCAAGATGTTTCCCTCCCTTTCTCCTCTGCCCTCCTTTCTCTCTCCTTTCTCTTTCGGCATCCCTTTCTTCTTCCTCCCTTTCTACATCACAGAGGCAGGCCAAAAACAGCTCAGGAGTTTTGCAACACGGTTCAGAAGACTACCTACACTGACACCAGAGCAGAACACAGGCTGTGGCGGGAGGTGGGCAAGTCAGAAGACAAACAGAAAAGGAAGCTCAGTGACTCAGAGCAGGGAGCAGGACATGCGCCCGGAGGAGGCGGGCACCACCACCGGCTGCACATTCCTGCCTCGCTCGGTCAGGTTAGCCGTCCCCTCCGAGAGAGCATTCCTCCGTGGTAAGAACACACTCTGGCCTCAGGCAGTCCTGAAATAGCATCTTGGAGAGCATGTACCCTGTTCTGTGGTCACTCAGCCTGGCACCCTGCCTGGTTTCCTGGCCGCTCCTCCTGTTTCTTTCACCAGGATACATTCTCTGCTCATCAAAGACGTCACAGCTGTCCTCTTGTCAGCACAGAACCAGCGAGAGTAGGACCGCGAGGCTAGGCCAGCGTTTGAGGCCCAGCCCAGAAATGCTGCTGTTTTCATTTAAACTACACTTGTGTGTGCTCATCCACACACATATGCAGTGCACGCACATGTACATATGCACACCCATACATATATAGTTACATGCTTGCACATGCACACACATGTACACGTGCATGATTGCTTCGACAGAGACATTGCTATGGATATTAGAATAGGCCACTTCCTGGTTGGCAAATCTTAGCGAGGCCACTTGGTCTCTGGAGTAAAATGACTGTGTGACATTTTCCTGCCGGCAGCTTCTTTGAAGTTGGAATATATGGGGAGGGAGTGGGGGAAGGTAGACTATCACACATCTCTCATATGGAAAAGGATTTAGGTATATTCCCATGTATACATGGCATGAAAGCAGGAAGCCTTTCTTAGAGGGAGGAAAGGGACCAGTGAAGGGAGGGAGCAGGACAGAGGAAGGGGAACAAATACAAAATATACGTAAGAAAATGTCATCATGAAATCCATTGTTTTGTCTACTAGAAAATAATGTGACTGTTTTTAAAATAAATAGTTTTAAAGAGAAGGACAGATGTATGGGACAAGGTCTTGACCCCAGGGGTTTGTCCTGCTAGTTACAAACGAGGTCCCAAGTGGGGGTGGGCGCAAAAGCAGAGAGCGGGCCTGGATGTGCCGCTGGCCCCTCCTCCATCCTCTGAGCTGGAAAGCAAGGGTATGGGAGGCCTCAGAACAGGGAGACTTTGTAAGCCAGCCCCCCAGCTGCCTTCTACAGGCATGAGGCTGTGGGAAACACACATGCACAGAAAGAAGAGAGAGGATCTGTTCCAAAATTAGATGGGGAACATGATGAGATGCATGTGCATCCTCGGTCTCAGGAAGCAGGGCCTGCATGGAACTGTCATGGATGGAGAACAGGATGAGATGTGTGTGCTTGCATCCTCCATCTCAGGGACCAGAGACTGCATGAAAATGTCATGGATGTGTAACATGATGAGATATGTGTGCATCCTCAGTCTCAGGGAGCAGGGACTGCATGAAAATGTCATGGATGGGGAGCAGGACGAAATGTATGTGCCTGTGTTCTCAGTCAGGGAGCAGGGACTGCATGGGACTGTCACGAGCAGATAAAGCCATTCAGTAAGAGCTCAGGCCAAACTCGGTGAAGAAATATTTAATATGGGGGATGAATGGATGGACAGGCAGCTGAACAAAAAGGTAAGGATTGTCCTAGAAAACAAAGAAAGTAAGTGTGGCTCTCAGCCCCCTGGAGGGGCTGGACAACAAAGTGTGGACTGAAGAACATTCTAGACCCTCTATCTTGCGGTGAATGGAAGTGGGTGTGTCTAACCAAAGGCAAGTCTGTATGCCTTCTACACAGGTACAGAGGGCTCTTATGTGCCAGAGCCCCGCTCCTGCTGTTATGACACCCCATTGGCCGCTGTTGGGAGAGCATGGCTTCCCTGCGGCTCACCCACACTACAAAGGGGACAGAACTCTGAGGCAGGAAGTTAAAGCCAACCTCCTCCCTCTGCTCCTCCCCTTCCTTAATTGGAAAAAGGAGGACACAAAGGGAGCCAAGATGGGAAGAAAGGGCGGCCATGTGCTTGCAGCGTCTGTCTACCACCTGTGTTCACCCCTCCCATACGGCCTGAGAGCCCTGCATTCCTGGGGCGCACATGGAATGGGCTCAGCTGACAGCCCGAAAGTGGATGTCCTGGTTGGAGGCAACCCGCCAGAGGTTCTTATTTCTTCCCTATATCCTCACGAGAGCTTCTTCTTCCAAGGGGACACAGCTACCTGGTTTAGGACCACTCCAGAGATGCTTCACACTCTGCCTCGTTGCTCTGTGGGGCTCTTCTGCTTCCTTCTAAATACATCCATACTGTGGCAATTTCTTCTAAATTCAACCATTTCATCTTGGAGGGAACTTAAGACTCAGAAAGCAAATGAAGACTTCAGGGCTCCAGAAAAAAAAAAAAAAAAGGAAATTGCAAGTCTCGTGAAGCTCCTAACACTTACAGGATACACAGGCGGTATGAGCAGGAATATTTACTGGGGAGAAGAGACTCTCCCTGCAGCCAAGCTGTCTGCAAGTGGTGTGGGAAGCTCCGGAGACAGAGGTTTTGGGAGCCATCACCCACACTGGGAAGGCATCTCCAGGGCCGCAGCTGCCTCTGAGGCATCCGTGATCCCATAAGTAACTCTTCCACGCTTGCTCATTGCTTCACCAAGTTGGACTTCAGGAAATTGTTACTTTAGTCTGCCACTGGTACCCTACTCAGGGTGAATTTGTCCACATCACTCCAGGAAAAGTCAGCACAACATACTAATGTCCTGACCCACAGATATGCATTAGGCAGCATGTTCCTGCCAGGGCACGTGTTTCCAACTCATGTAGACATTTTCCTGTGGGAGGACGACACCATGAGGGACCCACACAGAGATCCTGAATGGACAGCGTAGCCCACAAACCACAGGGACAGAAGTCTCGACGCTTCCCACATCCCATGCAGCTCAACATACTGACTCTGCCCACCCACCTACCCGTCCCAATAACAATATGGACGCTTAGCAGAGTTGCAACACCTGCCATGAACTTCACAGGTATGCCTTTCCCTAATGGGGACCAGACACTCGGCTGCTAGCGGGTGTTAGAGTGAGGGATCCACAAAGCTGTCCACCGACAGCACGTGGACCGGTCTGTGTCTTTGTGATATGGGTAAGTATGAAAGCAGATGTTTCCATGGTCACCTGGCCCGGTTCATTGTCAACCTTACTCACACAGAGACATGACTTCCAGTGTCTCTGCAAAACAGCATCGTGACAGCCCACACGTGCAGAGCTGTGTGGCTCTGATCCTGGATGGAAGGAGTGGGGACACTGGGCTTGTCCTCTGTCCGGTAAGGATGATCATAGCTCCCAGACAGGCTAAGCGCAATGCATGGAGAGCTCACGGCTTGGAGCAGACCCTTGATAACTGGAGTCCATTTTATTGCTAACAACCACGGTGTTCCCTGTGATCTGGCCCTGAATAACTAAATAAATTCACTGAACAGATTTTACGAACCAAGGATACTAGGTACGTGTTCTCTACCCACACTGACTTGCACGGTGGGTGTTATGGTCTCTACCTCACAAAGGAAAAGTCTGAAACTCAAAGTAAGTAGCATGCCAGAGTCACACAGGCAACCGGTGACAAAGGGACAGCTTATGGCAAAATTAACACAAGTCTTCTTTCTAAAAAGACAGGCCAGCATAAGCAGAGGAAGGTATATACTGTAGGGGGATGCAGAGTGGATATGCCACAGGCTGGCTGTTCGTGTGTGTGTGTGTGTGTGTGTGTGTGTGTCTGTGTCTGTGTGTGTGTCTGTGTGTGTGCCTGTGTGTATGTGTGTATGTGTGTGTTTGTGTGTACCTTGCGTGTGTGCATGTGTGTGTGTGCCTGTGTGTGTGCACGCCTGTGTGTGTGCCTATGTGTGTGCGCATGTGTGTGTATGCTCACCTTCTGCCTGGAACTGTGCGTCTGGTTAGCATATTCATCTACCCAAGGCCCACAGTCAATCCCCATCTACTAAACTGTTCTCCCGAGGGGCCCGATGGCATTGTCATTTGTCCCAGCACTCAGAAGAAAGAGGCACGTGGATCTTTATGAGTTGGAGACCAACTTGATCTACACAGAGAGTTCCAGGCCAGCATAGGACATAAATCAGGGCCAGGGCAGTCATGAGGAGCATGATTCACGTGGTAAGTTTCTTCAAAGAAAAAGTTCAACAGACAACCAAGGCCATTGGAAAGCACCAGCAGAGAGGTCTGGGTAAGGACAAATGCATTCTGAGTCATTACAAAGGGAGATCAAGGCAAGGGGCTGCGGACACTGGGAAGTGATTGTCTTGCATATTTGAGGACCTGAGCTTGACTCCCAGAGTCCACACTTAAAAAGCCAAGTGTGGCATGCTTGTCGTCCCAGCGCTGGGGAGGCAGACAATGGCAGACCCCTGGAGCTCACTGCTTAGCCAGTCTTGCCTATTTGGTGAGTTCCAAACTAGTGAAGAATGCTGTCTCAAAAAAAAAAAAAAAAGCTAGGAGTCAGCCAAAATCGTTGCTGGTCCTTCACAGGCATGCCAACACACGGATGCACACATACACGTGCACACATGGAAAGGAAAGGAAGGAAGTGAGGGAAGAAGAAAGACGGAAAAGAGGAAGGAAGGAAGGAAGGAGGGAGGGGAGGAGGGAGGAAGAAAGAAAGGAGGGAGGGAGGAAGGGAGGAAGGAAGGAGGGAAGGAGGGTAGGAGGAAAGAGAAAACCAGGAAGATGCATGCTTCCGTGGGGCAGGAATCCTTTCAATCCTTTCTCTGAGCCAAGCTGGAAAGCCCAAAGTCTTCTCTGAAGAGAAAAAGGTCAGCCCAGTAGGACCTCAAGCAATCATAGTTGAATTGCCGTCAAAATGGCTGTCGGGGAGTGTGCCTTCTGCTATGTAGGTAGCGTGCTCATGAATGCTGCCTCGGTTATATCCTCTGAATGGAGACTCCACGTTGCTTTCCCTTCTTGGCAAAGCCATCCCTGTGAAAGTCAGTGTCTTAGAACCCAGATACCATCATTACTGCAGGCCCGACTTCCCATCAGCCGTGAGTCACACACAAGTAACCGAGGCCCTGGAAGGAAGCAAGACCATGGGGTGGCGTTTATCAATGGTGGAATCCCAGCAAATGAGGAGAATTTCCTGATCACTGGTCATGTTCACAGGCAGCTCCTTCCAGACCATTGCTGGGGCCTCTCTCAGAATGGTTTCTAAGTATCATTGTTTATAGGAAGCAGGCACCTAGCAACCCAGGCAAATGGATGGGTTGTCTTTAAGGCTGACTCATGCCAAACAAAGCCTTTCGGCTAACTGTTACTTCCCTGAGTCCTCATCAGACAGGGGAAGCTTGTGTGACACCCACATTAGATGAAGAAGTGCCACTAGACCTCGAGAAGACCATGTTTAGTGGGAGGGAAAGGGGATTGTGCTATGCAAACCCCACCCCTAGTGTGCACACTGAGGTTACTGGCAGCCCCACGGGCAGGCCTGTCCCTCTGGGACCCCAGAACTACACAACCCAGGACTGTTTCGTCAACGGAGCACCTGGGATCTCAGCTCTCTTTAAAATCAATGAGCTAAGCGAGCGTTGCCGAAGAGGCCCCTGAGAAGCCACCTTCACACCCGAGCGGTGCGGTGAAACTGTCTGGGGTCCAGGGTTGGAGATAACGCAGGACAAAGCTTATGAGGACGTCCATAGTAAGTATGCTTCCAGATGGGCCAGCCTCTTCACAGGCAGGACAGGCCCAAAGTGGAAAAATGGTCACAGAGGAGGCCCGGGAATGAAATGAGCTCACTGTTCCCTCAACAGAAAGACGAGAGTTGTACACCAAAGGCAACTTCGTGACCGAAGGAACTGTTCTGTGTGACCCTTCTCTGCGCACCCTGCCAGATGCAGCATGGTGCAGCTGAGGCCCCTTTCCTAGACTTCCAGGCAACACACACACTTGGTCACTCTCAGGGGCCATGCATATCTTCTGGCCCTGTACATGTGAGCTGAGGAGCCTGCAGGGAAAAGAAAGGAAGGCCCCCCAACTCTGTGTTTAAGAATTTTCATCTTATTCCAGAGATTCTGTGGTGTGTCCTCAATGGGGGCCGTGGGCTTTATCCCCTACTCATTCCCTGGTTTCTGCTTTTCCCTGGGGATGGGGTGAAGAGAAGCTAACAAAGGAGGGGCTTGGGAGGAGAGATCGGAAAAGGGAAGACAGGCCAATTCCTGTTCCTCTTTCCTTTACTTCTCTTCTTTTGTCTCCAGATGTTTTAGAACACCTGGCACCTGGTCACGTGTTGGTGACCTGTTGAGAGATGACTCTTCTCTCCTTTTAAGTGTTTTTAAGTGTGTGCATGCGCACTCACACACGAGTGCAGGTGCCCAGAGAAGCCTCAGATCCTCCGAAGGTGAAGCCGTAGGCTTTTGCGAGCAGCTTGTCATCAGTGCCGAGAACTGAACTGGGGCCCTCTGCGAGAGCAGTCCTTGCTCTTGACTGCTGAGCCAGCTCTCTGGCACAGCCTGGCCTGGCTCTTCTTACAAAGACACCAGCTGAACTGCATGAGGGCTCCCTCCGAGGACCCTGTTACCTTGGTCACCTCTCTCAAGACCTAGGGAGGCCACACTCCGAGGTTCTGGGGTCAGGGTTTGCACCCCAACAAGAAAAAGTGGGAAGATAAGTTCCTAATCCCTGCAGAGCCCCTGCTCCAGGGTCAGCGCTGTGCTGGGCAACAGAGACCAAACAAGCGGTCAGCTCTCACTGTGGCTGAGGAAACACAGCTCTAGAGGCAGTGCATGACGAGCTAAATGGGTCATCCTGAAAGGCTTGACGTTGCCTCCAGGTTTGAGAGAGCTCACCAGACGTGACCTAGAGAAACTGGGTATGGCAGTGCCCACTTGCAGTCCAACACTAAAAGGTGGAGGCAGGGGGATAGAAGTTGAAGATTGTCTTTGGCTACTTAATGTGTTCGAGGTCAGCCCGAGCTACCTGAGACCTTGTTTAAACACACACACACACACACACACTCATGCACGCACGTGCACACACACACGTGCGCACACACCATGAATCCCTAGCTGCTCAAAGCCACAGAGCAGAACCGAAAGCTCCCACAAACTCCATCCCAGGTAACTATGCAGGCAGAGCTGCCAACCACAGGCCACACACAGCTGCTGCAGGGGACAGCAGAGCTCCATCCTTGGGAAGCTGCTGCCTCCAGAAACTAGAGTGAAAGTCACCACATCCTCCACTCCATCCCCTAGAGCAGTCTCTGAACCAGGCCCCAGATGGCACCTCTCGGTGAGGAAGCTCATGAGGGGAACAGAAAGTCTGATGTCTGGCAGTCCGCTACCTGGGTGCTCACTCTCCTTGCTTCAGATAACCAAGTGACATCACTCCGCTCTTATCTGCCCTGTGAGCGCTTACTTAATCTTCAAAGAGAGTTCCAGACTGGTATCTGGTGACTGAGTGGAGGTCAGAGGTCCTCTGACATCAGGCGTACCCACAGGGGCAGGCCCAGTGACAGTTGCCAGTTCTCGGCGACCATGTGCAAACGCAGACTTTGAGCCTAGTGCCTCTCTCTCAGGCTCCTCACACGCCCTGGCCACGAGACAGCTTCCCGATGGCCGCCAGTCACCACGCAAGCACAAATACACATGGGTGCTGCCTCTTATTGTTTTCCAGAACATCCTCTCTCAGGCCCAAACATTGCCACATCACCACCACCTCTTGGCGAAGCTGCCCTTTATGACCCAGCACAGGCACCAAAGGCATCAGGCTGGTATTTCCTCTGCCCCGGAGGGATTTTTATGGGGCTTTTATTCGGTTTCGTTTTTGCTACACTTCTGAGAATTCTTCTTTTGTTCTTCCGTTTGGTCGTGACGTCCACTCTCCAAGGAATTCTGCTCAGAAAAGTCACACAGCTGTTACCTGAAGCATATACCTCCAGAAAGAGAGCTGCACCCGCCGCCGCCGCCACCACCACATCCTCCCAGGAAATAATGTCTCAAATGACAGAATAAGTCCATCCTCACTGCTGGGTTTGGGTAAGCTGAACATAGGCAGAAAGGTCATATTTTCATGCTGGGACTCAGGGAGAGCCTGACTGTCTGGGTTAGTGGCCCTAGCAACCGCTTGCCTGAGACAGGGATCTGTCTGCTCACCACACATCCAGAACACAGGTGATTATTAGATCGTCAGACCCCAGGCCACCATCATGGAGGGGTCACCGACACTTGCCTGGCCCTAGCAGAGGTCATCAAGTCCATGTCTGGGACTTTGAACTCTTAGTCACTCCCTGGCAGTAAAGACAGGGGCGATTTCAAAAGCTGCCATCTTGTGTGTCACCTACCTAGGTGGAGGAAGTTTCTCAAAGACAAGTGATTGAAATCAGAGTTCAGAGGAAGCTGGAATGAGAGAGAAGGGAATCCCTGACCTGTCTGTAACGGCAGGTGGCCTGGGTCACACAAAATCCCCATTAGAAACACCAGCTGGGTCAACTCACGCCACTCTTGCGTGCGGCTACATGCCCCCGCTGATTGTGGGGTGAAAGGAGTGAGCAGAATGAGCTAGAAGAACACAACACCATCTAAGATGATGGTGGGCAGACACCAAGGCCCAAAGCCACGGAAGCCTTTGGTAGAGGGTTCCAGGTCTCTGTCGGGTGGGTAATCTTAACACCAGGTGCCACTGGGCAGAGGCAATTAGCACCTAGACAGGAGGAACGCTCTTTAGACAGGTTTTGGATGACAGAAGTGACAGCCCACTATGGTCAGTTCTGGATCATCACTGGAGACTCCTTGTCTGAGATTGTCCTAACCGTGCATGTATCCTTCTGGTACTGTATCATCACCCTACGGGTTAAGTGAAGTCCGGGAGTGGGGGTGACTTCAACTACATCCTCTGTCACTCAGAAGGGGCACTCAAACCCAGCTGCCCCTCCAGAGCACGAAGATGTCCGGAACTGAGCACAGCCCCAGAAACCCAGCACTGCACTGTCTGTCTGCTGACCACAGGAAGGGCTCCCATTGAGTCAGAGGGGCATCTGGCTAAAGGCAGGGCTGGAGGATCCAGCTTAATCCCCTTACTCATCTGAAAGGTCACAGGAGGGCCAGCAGCCTTAGCAGGCAGAGCCTCGGTGTTGCCTGCAAGCTTGGAGAATCCACAGAAGGCCACACAGTGCCCCCTGGCTCCAACCTCAGAAACAGAGCTGGTCCTGACTCAGAAAGGAAACAAATGCTGACTCACCCTCCACTTCCTCCTCCAGCCCAGCTCAGCCAAGACTGGCAGTTGCTTCCAGGACAGACAGTGACCACGACTTGGAAAGCAAGATGGGGGGCAAGGGCCCACCCTGCCACAGACCCTCAGACCTCGTTTTCCTATGCCCCCCCTCCTTCAGTATATTCTAAACATTGCCTAGCTTCTGACAACCCTGTCCTGTCCTGTCCTATCCTGCCTTGACCTTGGCTGTGTTATTTTTCACTTCCTTGTTCAGAGCACAGCCACACTTTCCAAACATCATGAATCATCAACACGAAGCAACGGCCACTTGGTAAGGCAGGAAACCGCTGCACGCCAGGCCTGGATGCAGCCGGCCCCTGCTCTGGCCTCTCCTGCTGCCTGCTCAGTCTCCTGCACACTCAACCCCTCCACCATCAGCCCTCACACTGGGTGAAACTGGGCAGCATCTTCCGAATTCAGCCTCCCCTGCCTGAGCCGTCTAAAGTGGAGCTGGTATCTCCCAGTCCCAGAGGGAGAGAAACAAGTCAGCTCATTCAAAACCCAGGCTGTTTGGATGACTGGATCCGGCAGACAGCAGGGCCAGCAAGCGGACATGGGCTTCCTCTTGCAGCCTTGCTGTTAGCAACAGAAGTCACCTCTGTCATCCAAGTTCCCCAAAAGTGAAGCCCATCAGTCAATCAATCAGCAGGGACTGGGGAGATGACTTAGTTAGTAACAGGAATGACAAGCGTAAGAACCTGAGTCCAATCCCCAGAACCCACACAAGAAGCAAGTGTAGTTCTGGGCAGGTAGAGACTAGAAGATACTGACATCTAGTTTCTCCCAAGTGAGCTTGAAGCTCAGTGAGAGACCCTGTCTCCAAAGTAAGACGGAAGTGATTGAGGAAGAAGCATCAATATTGGGCCCTGTCTTCCCACACATATGCACACACCCCATCATGTTAAAAAAAAAAAAGCAACATGGATTTGACGTTTCTCTGACAGGTCATATCTGCCCAAGTTAGGTCTTGAGTGTTCTCTGTCCCTGTGGTCTAGGCTCTGGTAATTTTTCTAATGGAGAAGTCACCCATGTGACTCATCGTAAGTCACCCCCGTGTGGCAGCTAGAAGGATCAGGACAGACAACCAGGGTCAAGAGTGTAGACAGGCATGGCAGAACTTTCTCCTCAAATGCCAAATATCCAATGTGGTAATCAAATCCCAGATTCCAGACACTGGAGAATTAACTAAATTAAGCGCCGCAGACCACTGTTCTGGGTAGCCGAGCAGATCCAGATGTCTTGAAAACATATAAATCACAGCGCTCTAGCTCTTCAAGTCCGGAAACGCATTTTAGAGCCGCAAAGATAATAGAAGCATCTCCTGAAAACAAAACAAAAAACAGCCTGCCCCTGGGGCTGGTGGGGGTGGTTAAGAGTAACGTCTGCTCTTGTAGAAGACCCAAATTTGGTTCCCAGGACCTACACAGAGGTCCACAAGCATCTATAACTCCAGTTCCAGGGGATCCAATGCCTTCTTGTGGCTTCCAAGGGCACCAGGCATGCATGTGGTACACTTACACACATGCAGACCAAAAACCAAAACACAAAACCAAATAAAACCTCATCCACATAAGATAAAATAATTCTTAAAAAAAAAAATAAACAAGAACTATTCTGATATCCCATCAGGCAGCAGGGAGAGCCAGGGCCCGGAGAAGTGAAATGACTTGCCGAAGGTCACACAACAGAAAGCGAAGAAGGAGCCAAGAGAGCTCACACCCTCTGGCTGGTGATTCAAGGCTGTTCGTATTTATCATAACTGTCATTGCAGTGGGTAGGTGTGGGACTCAAATCAGATGTCCTTCACGCCCTCTGAAGCCATTCTCCTGATGATCTAGAATATTCCCCCATCAGTCCAAACCTGTGGGAGAGTCTACACAGCGTCTGACATTCTTAGTCAGGAGGTCACACATTTCTTCGACAGGAGTTTTGCAAAGATAGCTACCACCATATTTTCAAAGGAGTCCTTTACAGGAAAAACGGAAAATCAGAGAACTAGAGAGTGGCACACACACACACACACACACACACACACACACACACACACACACATATCCAGGGAGCAAATCTGAGAGAAGGGTGACTTTGGATGCACAGTTTCTGCCAGCCAGACACTCAGTTCTGCCCTTATACTGTGAAAACAGTACTGAATATGCACAAGCAGACACAGTCTGTGCCAATAAAACTTTATTAACAACATAGTATGGGCTCAACCTAATCCAGGCAATTGTTTGTCCTGAACCGAAGTCGATGATTGGCTTTCTTCCCATGACATCAGATTCTGTAGGTATCAGAGAATGAATGGCTCCTAGGTTGCTGCCATGGATCCAGCCCTCATCCAGGGACGAGGGAGGATAAGACACACGACAAAGAATTCATTTCGTTTTTCCATTAAACAATGACAAGTTCTTTGAATCTCTGATTGGAAACTTTCACACATTACTTGAGGTTGCTGCAACTTACTTCCTGCCACCCGCTTACTGTGTATTTTGAGCAAAACTGTGGGGAAGGTTGAGGCTGCCCTTTGGCCTCTGGCGGTTGTCTGGAGTGCAGTATCCCGACTCATGGGTGCACAGGCCGCGGGAGAGCTGCTCCTATGGTCGTCCCTCATGGCATAAAGCTCTGACTGCATTCACAACTGGGCTCTAAACTAAGATCTCGAGACCAAACACAGCTCAGAAGGAACTGCAACTCTCCCTTCTTTCTGAGTCAGGAGTTTGAACCTAGCCGTAGGGCATTTGTTCTCATCTTGCCCTCCTTCTTGTGGGAATCCCTACCCCCCAAAGTTGCTCCCTGCTCCCACAGACCTTTGACTGTCCATGTTTCTGACAAGTCATCCGTTCTTGACTGAAGAGAGGGAAAGTGACAGCTCGGCCTCTCTAGAGCTCCACCCGCCTGCCGTCAGTGGCAGAGAGGCCACCCTCGGTCCTCACACTGAGAGTGTTGATGTGAGTCCCTCTGTGGCTGGCTTTCTGAATCTTCCCCTAGAGACCCCACTTCTGATATGGCTGCTTCTCTGTGTCTTTGCACACCTACGTTCTCATGCAAGCACCGGGGCATTGATGAGCACACATCTCCCGGCATCCTCCCAGGGAAACGGGATGCAGGGGGATGAAGCAGGATGCTGAGGCCATGGGCTACAGGCTATGTTTCCCTACATCTCCTAGCAGGCACCATCACAGAGCTTCTGGAGAACCAGAACCTTCCTTTTTCTTCCTCTCTTCCTTTTTCTTGTTCTATCAGGACGCCTTTCTCAACCTTCCCATGGAAAATCTCAGAGCAGGCCACTTCCTGTTTTTGTTTTGTTTTCCTGCCCTGCTGCTGTGCCCTTCGACTTTCTGTCCTGAACTGAGAACAAGGAGCAGGCAATGTGTCCCAGCACCGAGGAGCTGGCTCAGCAGCTGGAAAAGGAAAGACCCAGTAGGCCCTGCTCATTCCTGCCTGCATGCCTGTGGGTTGAGACAATGGCTCCTCCCAAGTCCTGAGTCATTGCCTTAAAAAGGGGGACTCATGAGGAGGGGTGTAGGAACCCAGAAGGATCTGCAGGCAGTTAGTGGCTGCTTCGGTAGCACAGCCACTGGTCAGCAGCCCACGCTCCTGCAAGCAACCTAAACGAAACTCTGCCTCCCACCAAATAAAAAGATGGGAAAGGAGAAAGGGGCCTAGTTGGGCAGAGGAAGAGGCTTAGTGGGAAGGGAGGGGGTGACCGTGATCAAAATAACATCATGTACATATATGAAAATATTTTATACAGGCTGGAGAGATGGTTTCACAGTCACGCCTATTGCTCTTGTAGAGGACCAGAGTTCCGTTCCCAGCACCACAGAGTTGACAACTCTCTCTCTCTCTCTCTAATCCAGGGAATCTGGCGCCCTCTTTTGGCATCTTGGAGGACTGCATTCACACATGAACATAAACTCACCAAGGCTATACCCGGGTAAATTAAAAATAAATAAATCTTTAAAAGGTAAACCAAGAAAATGTTGTCATGAAACCCATGAAAGTAGGAAATTAATATATGCTAATCCTAAAACATTTTCAAAAATCAGACAAGAATATAAAGAATTGGTTTGGGGCATACCCACCCACACTAGACGCCAATGTAAGTGAATGTTTGTTTTTGAGTCCTGACCCTTCTTGACTCATTCACATTTGGTGCTGTGTGATCTCTTTTCCTTGGCTGTCCCCACTGGCTCAGTTAGGAGCGTGTACATTCCTTCTTTTCTATGGCACTTATCCCCCTTCGCCTAGGGCCACATTCTTGGCATGCTTGGAACCCGCAGGCACTGACCAGGGATCACTTCTGGAGACTGCTGAGGCTGCATTCTTTGCTTCATTTCTTCCACACCTGCCCCAGGCACAGCCCAGATGCAGATAGGACAGCAGAAAACACCCCAGCAGAGCCGACAGAGGGCATCCCCCCCACAGACAGCAACTCTTGCTAAGTTGGCTGGGAAACCCCAGAGGGAGCATGTAAAACAGCCCTCGGTGGGTTATACAGGGAGTTTCCATAATTTATACCAACCAGGAAAGAGAGCAGACAGGCCACAAACTCTGAAGCCCCGCAGTTTGGGAAGGGTCTGCCAAGGGAAGCAGCAGAGCGAGGCCGAGCTTAGCTGTTGGCGGTGTCTGCGAAGCATTTCCCTGCTGGAGACAGCCTGTCCGGTTCTTCCCTTTGCATGGAAAGCTCCAGTTTTCGCTCATCGTCTCCTGAGGTGGCCCTCAATAACACACTTAAACATCTAGGGGACGAGAGGGTCCAAGCTCTTGGGAGGCGTCAGGATCAGCTGCAGAGTCACCAACAGGGGCCGCTCCTGGCCTCAGAAGCCATGGCGACGCCCTGTGTTGAGTGGACCTTTGCAGAAACAGGTCAGGCTTGGCATCCCTCTCAGAGAGGCAATGTCAAGTTCCCATAGGGGAAAGAGACTGATTTGTTCTGTGAATAAGAGCGAAGGCCTTGGTTTTCCGCCTTGAACTGTATAAACGTCCCCAGGAAGAAAACCAAACCAAACCAAAACAAAACATTATCTTTGGTTGAAAACATTGTCAGTCTTTTTTTTAAAAAAAAGTCAACTGGAGATAAAGCAGACAGTCCTCTGGACAAACCTCACTGAGCGCCACACCTTGAGTATCTGATGC